AAGCTAATATTTTAGGACTTTTGGGCGTTAATGGGTTAAGCCCCAGTCATACATATAATTAACCTTAAAAAGTTATTTTATGATTATTAATTTCAGGGTATTTTATAAGCATATTCTTCAGTGATCTGAAGTATTCCTTCATACAAATATTTTTTTTTATAGAAATGGCAAGCAAAAGTTTTAGGCATGTGTATTCTCGCTTTTGACGTCATCAATCAAAAGTTCCGCAGTGAGGGACCAAGAGTCAAAAGAATTGTCAAACAAACTGTCTTTTATTTGCCATGTTGAAAAATATAAAAATTTGTGATTACAACTCTGCCGGCTTAATTATTGAATAATCGATTGATTAGAATTTTTAAAAAATTACCCTTAAGGCGACTTTGACGAAACATCGATGAAATTAACCAGCATAATTTCTAGCTGTAGCAATTTTAAATAAGTTATCATGAGAGAACAAGAGAATTCCTTACTCCTTTTTAATAATAAACTATGTTTTATCTCCTACATTGGCAACTCTATTAATTGAGTTAATCATTAATCTATACAGAATTTGGAAAAAGTCATCCTTGCAGTTCTCCGTGCAGAGGTTCTATATAGGGTGTCTTAATACCGGAACCCCCGGATAACTTTGCAGTATCAAGTTTTCATGAAAAATTTTAAATACAAAAGTTGTAGAAAATCGAGTAACGGACTTGGACCTTGGAACAGACTTGGAAGGTCAACGGATGGTGACCTTGAATTTAACCTTGGCCATGACCTTCAGGGTCATTTGGAGGACAACTTGCGTTTTTTAAACGAGAACCCTTATTTTTTATTATACTGTTTTTTTTCAATTAATTTGAACAACTTTTATCTAAAACATTTTTTAATTTGCCTAATATTTTTTTAGATATTTGAGGAAAACTTGATAACTTTTTTAATATTTAATTTACAATATCTCGCTAACTATTTGTCGGAAGAGAAAGTGGTATTAAACTTTCTTGCTTTATTTAGTCTCAAGAATATATTGTTACAATAGGGCCCTGACTTTTGTTAACTTATTGACTTTTGGAAATTTCAAAATCATCAAATTAACAAAAATCAAGATGCTATGTTAACAATATATTTTTGAGATTAAATAAAGCAAGAAAATCTAATACCACTTTTTCTTCCGACAAATAGTTAGCGAGATATCGTAAGTTAAATATTGAAAATGTTATCAAATTCTCCTCAAATATCTCAAAAAATATTAGACAAATAAAAAAATGTTTTAGACAAAAGTTGTTCAAATTAATTGGTAGAAGAAAACAGTGTAATAAAAAATAAGGGTTTCCGTTTAAAAAACGCAAATTGACCTCCAATTGACCTTGAAGGTCATGGCCAAGGTCAAATTCAAGGTCACCATCAAGTTTGTTATCCGATTTTCTGCGACTTTTGTATTTTCATGAAAACTTGATCCTGCAAAGTTATCCGAGGGTTCCGGTATTTTTAAGACATCCTGTATGTCTTAAAAATAGAAGCAAAATAGAAGCAAAAGAAAAAGTAGAGAGAGAAAAGGGGAGGAGATGTCTGTACGTATTTAAATTGTTTATAAAAGATAAATTTAAGAGCTATATACTCGGAATATAAAACGCTGAAAGGTACAGGTGGATCAGGTCACGCAATACGAGTTCCGAGAAGTAAAAGTTACCCGTTACTGCGTTATAAAGTGATTACTGTCAGCACACCTGGTTTAAAATTTTCCAAATTGCACTCGGTTTACTCGTACTTTTGACACTTCTCACGCTTCTATAACCGTGTATTTGAAAATATACAAGTCAAAAAGGTAGATGTGACGCTCTGTAATTACTTTATATCACAATCGCAACGATAAACAATAAAACGCTTTATTAATACAATAACTTGAAATATTGATTATACATGTATCTTTTAAATGTCCTCTCTCAATATAAAAAATACTGCACAAATATATCAAAATACTATTATACAATGTTGCAAAGTTGCAATGTTGTAAAAGTTACTTTAGTTTTCTGACTGTATGCCATATTTTTTTCTCGATAAATTCCGACAAGCGTATCAAAAGGGGAAATTTGTTTATTACTAATTCTCAGGAGATATATTTTCCTAGTCGGAAAGAAGTTCAACTGCAACTTTTAAAAATAATGCAATGTTGAAGTTAATCGTGATAATGTTGACACAACGTTAAGAATTACAATATTAACAACTAAAAGTTATATATATTAGAAAACATTATATACTGTCGAATATTTTATTGCAATACGCTCCGTCAACTTTTTGCTTGTTAAGTCTTGACTTTTATGGTAATAATAATGGCGCACACATACAAAGTCATGTATACTTACCGTTATAACTAGGCTTATTTGTACAATTTCAAACCTTACTCATAAAGATGCAAAGTATACAAGTAACGCTGAGCTTAGTGGCACAGCATATAGCCGGAAAACTAAAGGTTACCACGCTTTTCCTCTAGGTTCCGATAAACATATCAAATGGGAAAATTTGTTTATTACTAATTCTCAGGAGATACATTTTCCTCGTAAAAAAAGAGTGCCGCAACTTTTAATCATCTGATTGCGCTTTTATTTCCTGCTATCATGTCGTTATTATGTTGTAATCAGAAATGCTACGTGTATGCCTTTATTATACAGGGCCCTTCACATTAAAAGATTTCATTTTAAATTAATAAAAACACGAATTTGTTTTTAAAAAAGTTATTATATTTTTATTTCAAGAGTACAGACTGCGACAGATTAAAGTGGAACACAATATCAGCCAAATGATCGCTTCGACTTTTCAAAAGGTCATTCCTTTGAGAAAATTTTCCATCACGCTTTCATACAATTGCGACTCAATTTCGTCAATAACAGTTTAAATATTCTCTTTAAACGCTTTAATCGTTCGCGAAACATCGGTGTAAATCTCATCCTTTACATAACCCCGAAGGAATAAGAAGTCCAGCGAAAGTCAAATCGTACAACTTAAGCGGCTAATTGAAGTCTCCGTTACGCGAAATGACATGTCCAGGAAACTTTTCACGTAATAATGCAATTGCGTCTTGTGTAGCACGTATCCGTCCCATCCTGCTAAAAATAAACATCGTCCAGAACCAGTTCTTCAATCTCAGGTCAAAAAAAGTTAGTCAGTATTTTTCGGTAGCGCAATCCATTAACTGTGACGGTAGCACCGGCTTCGTTTTCAAAAAAACTTCACCCGATGACACTGCGAGCCCAAAAACTGCACTGTTGTGGATGAAGAGGTTGTTCACTAATCTCTCTTGAGTTCTCGGTGCCTCAGATGTGGCAGTTCTGTTTATTGATGTAACCTTGAATTGCTCAAAATGATTCTCTTGAAAAAATCAGGGTCAACCGCTTGCCTATTTCCAATACTCAATCGATGAACGTGCAGCGTTGTTCATGGTCCATCAGCTTCAATTTTTGCATTAGCTGGACCTTGTATAGTAAGCATGTAAGCCAAGATCTTTGTGCAAGATGGACGCAGGTTGGTTTGTGAAATACCCAGTTGCACATCTTGCAATGGACAAACTTGGATCTTCCGCGATACTTTCAGCCACAGCAACAATGTCTTCGGTTGATCTGGCTGGCCGAGCACAAGTTGGGTTCTTAACATCACTAACCAAGATGTTCAAATTTATCGATGAAATTCACAATAGCTGGGCGAGAAGGCGCCCGAAACTGGTACGGATTTTTCGAATTGTTTCCGCAAAATTTTTTCCATTGTTTGTAGCGAGTTTTCACTATTTCTATGAGTTGCTCACCCAGTCAGAACCATAACGTTAATTTGATGTTGAAACAGTCGATGAACCGTTGAATCAACGTTAATTCAACCCTCATCGATGTCGAATCAACGTTGTGGTTCTGACTGAGCAAGCGAATATCGATTCATCGTTATCAACTGTCTAGTTTTTACTCGATAGCTGTCAAATATAATAGCTTCATCTGCGACAGATAAAGATGCCGCGAAATTTAAAATAAAACCTCTTAATGGAAGACTCTGTACTTGCGGCCTTCACTCTTAATCATCCGTCTATTGAAAAAAAGGAAAAAATTACAACTAATAATTATGCAACAAACATTTGTAGAGGGACCATGCTCGTTCTTCTTTTCTCCCAAGATGTCTAGCATTTTTTTATCTTGAACTCGTCTCCAACTGCAACCGGTTAAGACGAATGCTGTTTCTGCTTCACTGTTTGCTAGTGGCGGTATCTGTTCGAAACGTTTTGCATTCACTTGAACTATTGCGAAAACAGTTCGTAACATGACCTATCATGAAAACTTGTCGATGGGGGATAATTACTGTTCATCGATATCCTCGATCAAAATCACAAGTCGACAGTCGAATATTTGATTTTACAAATTGTAAAGTGTTTGAAGAGTTCTTGATATACGTAAAATATAATACATCTAGAAGCTCTTCCAAGTACGCTGAAATTAGAAAAGCGAATTAAATCAGACGACTGTAGCATTTAAAGATAAAAATGCAAGAACTTGTTACATCATTCTCGGCTATCGTATCTACCGACGTAATCTGCTGTCATAAAAATCGTTATCATAAGAGCCAAGATATAATGAGTAAAAAACTGATAGAACGTTATTGCGATAATGTTCAATGATACATAACATTTTTTTATATATATTTCTTATTTGTTGTTAATGTTTAACAGTTCTCAATCAGAGTTCCTAATTTTTACGTATTGATATTATAATTCTCAAAGCGTCGCATCGACATTACTACAAATCACCTCGATACATTGCATTGTAAAGCTACTTTTACGTTTATTATCTCGTGATATACTCTTGCAAGTTCTGCAGAAACCACGTAACTAAAATTCGTCTCAGAAGGGCGAATATTTCGACGCGGCGTGTCAACGCGCGGCTGTTACGTTCAAAATCTGAATTCTCCTTGACGCGAGCACAGAACAACCACGGTCGTTTAACGCCATTGAGTAATAATTGATCGCGATGACGTCAAACTGCCATATTAATATGGCACGCAGATCTCGTACGAGTTACGAGTACGAAACTAACCGCGAGCTAAAAAACACGCGAAACAACGCAATCATGCGACAACTTGCCCGCGAGAATCCACCCCCCTCTCCATTACGTGATCGTCAGCTTTCATGTGTGCGTGTTATCGCGTGTAGTCGTTCACAAGTAACGATCTGTAGTAACGATCGCTATTCGTAGTCGCTGCGCGCCGTATCTGTCAATTCTTCGGTGCCGACGAGATATTACACGTATCTCCTGACTGTGTTCCGGCAGAGGAAGAGCAGGTATTACTATTCGGAAAGCTTACCGATCGGAACCGTTCGATTGTTATACCCAATCGTTTATTGCTTCTCTCTGGAGAATCATTCCGACTAAAACATTCCACGAGCAATTTCATAATGTTTGCCCAACGAGTAGTTTCATAATGTTTCTTCGAGTCGTAAGGTTGTCGTTTTTTTTTTTTTTAGTTAACGCTGCACTGAGGAACTTTATTACTTTTTCTTCGACGCAAATCTGTACATTTATTTCATTCTAATGACAAAAAGTGCAACGTAGCTCATCTAATAAAGAAGACGGACCTACGATTGGTGTATACAGTATGTAGAAAAAATTTTAAACACGTTTTACCAATCTGTGGAGTAAAATAACACTTAATAAAGTGAAACGTTACGAAATTTGTATATTGAGTGTTCTTTTTTCATTTTTTACGGAATTATTAAAAATTACTATGCAAGTAGTTTTTTTATATATTACTTCGGAGTAATCTTCGGAAAGATGAAAAATATTAGAAATATGGCAATTTTTATTTCTATAAGCTTCGACGTGCACACACAATTCATAAAAATTCGTTAAAATTTATTCACAGAACTCGATATGGAAACGAAATTGTTTTCTAAAACTAAATTTTAATGAATTATAGGCAGGTCATGATACAATGAATGTCGTAACATGATAATTATTTGTTATTATTTCTGCGTTGAACCTTAACTATCGTTTAATCGGGAATCTTTCTCGTGAAATGATTGATGTGTGTCACGTGATTAATCAACAACAATCTGCGGGGGACCATTGTGATGTAACTGAAGACATGTGACGTTCGACGAAAATTGTGCAAATCGTGCTCAGTTGAATCAGTAATGCTCACAAATATTTCGCGTATTATATCCATAAATATCCGCAAATATCCATAAATATCCGTTATAAACGTATCACTAAACTTGATTTCGAATATTCTAAACTTTATCCAATTATTTTATATATCTTGAGCTTGGTAGAATAATTCTCTGTGTATTTTGTATTTTTTTTTCTTATTAACATTTCAGATGACGAGTTTGAGCAAAATAATAAGCATATGGAAAAACACAGATGCTGTGACATTTGATGTAGACTCTACTGTCACTACAGAAGAAGGTATCGATGAGCTTGCAAAATTTTGTGGCAAAGGAGATCAAATCACTGAATTGTATGTTCTTTAATTGATTCTTACTACAGTTCAACTTATCATATAGTATATGTGTGTATATATAGCCTATAGAATTCATAAGACACTTTTCCAATTTATGCTATGATATATTTTTCAGGACTAAACAAGCCATGCAAGGTGATATGACATTTCAACAATCTTTATCAGTGAGATTGCGGATCATAAACCCAAGTTTAATTCAAATAAAAGAGTTTTTGTATATGCATCAGCCAAAACTCACTAGTGGTATCAAGTAAGAAATCTGTTTTTGAAATATAAAATTAAATATATGTTAGATTTGTATATATATTACATTATCCATAATTGTAAATATGTTTAGAGAGTTAGTATCAACTTTACAAACTCGTGGGAAGCAAGTGTTTCTTATTTCTGGAGGTTTCCATTCTCTCATTGCACCAATTGCTGCACAACTTAACATCCCACCTGAAAATGTTTACGCTAATAAATTAAAGTTTTACTTTACAGGTAAATATTTTCATTAATGAGTTTATAATTATTTTTTGGGATACACGATACAGAGACATATATGTATACAACTATGTGCAGGAGAATATGCTGGATTTGATGAAAATCAACCAACCTCTAAAAGTGGTGGAAAAGCAGAAGTAATACGTCATCTTAAAGAAGAGAAAAGATTTAAGACTATAGTACATATCGGTGATGGTGCTACAGACTTAGAAGCATCGCCACCAGCAGATGCTTTTATAGGTTTGCAAATTGCTTGAAATTCTATTAAAATTTCTAAATGTCAGCCAACGATCAGTTGCATGTTAGTGTTATACAGTGTCATAAAGCATATTTATCTTTGTTGTAGGATTTGGTGGAAATGTAATTAGAGAAAATGTTAAGTCACGCGCGGAATGGTATGTGACGAATTTTAACGACCTCACCAAAATTTTATAACCAAAATTACAGAAATGATGTAATATATCTTGTAAAATGTTAATATCAAAATAATGTAATATATCTTGTAAAATGTTAATGTTGAACTATTCTACAAGAATGTCAATTGTAATTTAAAAATTTTTAAATATTGTAATTTTTAAATATTTCGACGGAATTAGATTCACAAGTAACGTTTTATTCTACACACAAATATAATGTACATTACATGTATTAATGTAATTTCAAAGATGATGTATAATCTACATATACACATTTCATTGTATCAACCGATAATTGTTATTACCATAACAGCTATTTTCGTTTATAATTCTGTACATAATTACATTGTATTGTAATTTATATTATTTGTGTACAAAATTGCTGTTCATAAACAAATCGAATACCAAGCAATAAGATCTCAATAAAGCATGTAAAAAATAACGTGTTGTGCGGTGAAATGCAAACTACTTTATGTATCATTTTTTGTATATTTGACATATATCTAATAGACCATAATAATTATTTCCATGATTATTTCTAGACCAAAGTTTGCTCAGCAATACAAATACAACAATTGTTACTAATTTTATCGTTTTTATAATCTGTCTCTCAGAGATCATATACTTAAGTTACAACATTGTATTATTGTAATAAAATTGACAATAAATTATGAATTAGTTCCTTGCGATTTTTCTTGTTTCTTTTGCGAAATCCACTTTTGTATTTTTTGCTGAAGTTCTATATCCGGCTTCACCATGTCCATCGTAAGCGGTGATCGATTGAAAGGATCAGTTTGATCGCTCAGCAAGTGTCTGAAATATATGCAATAAAGTCTATTTGCTTAAACCATAAATGTAATAAATACGCCTCTTTTGGCGACTAATTTAAACCTAAAAAAAAATAGCGAGTAAAAGCCCTACTACAATTATTTTAATGTGCAATTAACATATATTGTACTATACAATTAATGTTATGTAATAACTAAACGTCGATGGTTTGGTCAACAAGAGGCTTTTTGTAGTATTTGTATGACGTTAGCGATTAAAAATAATGTCAATCATAAACGTCAAGTAACAAACATATAAAACAAAAAAATTATTTACGCACATTGTGTTGCAAAAAAAAGATTGTGTCTGCAAATGTTACATGCAGATAGTAAATTAATGGCAACTATAAAGTGAGCTTCTCGTCAACAAGATTTTTGTGATTGAATATATAACAAAAAAACACAGAAACCATAAGAAAAAAGACAAAGTATGTATAAACAAATCTGTTTTACATTTCAGCACGTGATCTTTAACGAATCATAATATTATATATAGACTATAATAACAGACCATAATAAATTTACCATCCGAATATAACGTTTGGTAGAAAACTATGTACGAACATCTCTTTTTACTACACTGAGAATCTGTGCAAATATTTCCTGTTTTATACATATCTGTTACTTCTTTATAATTGACACTATTTTTGTCATTCCTTGTCACGTTTATATTTGTATAAATTGGATTTAGGTAAAATGACGTATACCTTGCTATAGTCTGCCGATTGATGGTTATTCGCGACGATGGCAGAATGACAGGATCTGTCATAACAGTGGACATAATCGGGTCGAGGAATTCGTCAGGAACACCTGTCAGAATTTCATCCTCTTCTCGTTTCTGATTCGCGGCCTTTTCTACACTCTTGGCAAATTGATTCAAATCTCCCAAGATGCCAACACCACCGATACGAACTATGGCAAAATTTTCTTAATCAATCTTTACGCCCTGCAAGTGCAAGTAAACTCGAAAAGATACGCAAAGCCTTACTGAGCACATTATCCGCGAGTTTGAAAAGTTCTGGACTGTAAGAACGTCCGTCTTGCGACACAGCTAATGTGAAACTTTCGTTTTTACTTAAATTGATGTAAATCTCACATATGTTCAGCACCAAATTCGCAGGATTGAATGCATATTCTTTTTGATCATTCACCTAGATTTAGACAGACGCAGAATTACGATTTTTATCATTTTTACGAATATATGATATTTCGAATCTTATAAAATAACCTTCAGATTCTTCTTATTCGGCCCCACTAATTGCAACAGTAAATAATTGAGCATAGAAGCGATACGATCCACCATGGTTGGATGACAAAAGATGGACTTGATCTCACTGGTCAGCATTTTTATCGCCTGTATGGTTTTCTTGCCCAATATGTTGTCGAAGCGAGCGATCATACCAATGTGTTGAAGATAGCCAGCTTGCTGATCGCGCTCATTTGGTGGCAGCTTATTCCATTCTCCGCTTTCCCTTGTAATCAAAAGTAGTCATAGTTGCAAATACAAATTTACATGATAAAATATTTTGGAAACGATATATATTCGTACACATTCTTGAATATACCTCGCTTGAAGCATCTGTCTCAACTGTGCCATATTCGATAGAGCTTCATCTAAAAGGAATACAGCGTCGTTCATTAAAAGATTGATGAAACGCAGAAACAACGGTGGTTGGACTGCCTCCATATTGTCCTCCGCTTCTTGAGCTAAAACACTGATATATATATATATAGTATTAAAATTAAAGGAAATATCGCGCAAGATCTTAATGGAAGCTATTTTACAGAATTCCCACGTGAGAATGGCTCTCTCATGCTTCTCGCTTAAAACGCGAATTTACGAACGAAAACAACCAGGAAAATTGTTATTCTTACGTGTTACGAATAACGATTCTTATTTTTACTGTTGTTATTCTTACGTAAACTTATATTTAAGTAATTACATGAAATTATTACGGTGTTCGGGAACTCTCCACAGATAGTCCATAACGATGTACATTGGACGACGGTAATTGAACTTTTGCTCGAATTGTACGCTTTGCCCCGTCATCTCGATGCTCACGAATACGTGCAGCAGATGCGCAATTATCTAGAAGTGAACAAGGCAACACATGAAATATCTAGCTGTGAAAATATGCTTATTTTAAGGCTTTTCTACATTGACTACAATGTCGGTTGCGCCGTTCGATGATGGCAAACTGTTTATGATCGAACCGTTTATGATCCATTATAAACCGATTGTCGTGCGAATTTGCTCGTTTGATGAAAATAGCTCATCGGTGTGCAGTTTCTTATATTCCTAAGCCTCTTAAATGCATTTTGTGCTATGAGTTTGCAGTCGTCGTCGCGACAAGTATCGCATATATTTTCATAATGTGGAGAAATCTTTGTACAAACTTCGTACAAAATCGTGCTCACTTGTTGCCTGTGTGGGTGAGTAACGAATAGTTGCTTCCTGCGGAATGTTCCTAAGTTCGGCGTCGCTGCCTCTAAGGTCTCGGTTGCTATAATAGGCAAAAGCGCCTCCAAACCCTCGGCCAAACGCGCGCGCAGATGAGGATTGTACAAACGATGCTGAGACTCCATCAGAACTATAAGCTGGAAGAACCAACGTATAACTTTAATGATCGCGACGAGAATAAGTAGTTCGTTCTGCCTTGACTTACCTCTGTCAGGATCGGATTCAGGAAACTCGGGCCTTGTTCCTCAAATGTGTTTGGATTCAGGCGACGCAGGAGACACAAGAACTCGATGGTATTTTCTACCACGAACTCGGGAATGCACCTACCGCAAAAGCACATCGGTCGGTTCATGAATTATCCGACAGTACAGCACATATTTGGCATACCTTAGTGTAGTCGGAACAGCCTCTGACAGCGGGAATGTAACAGACTTGCATTGCTTCGGCGCGAAATTTTGTTTGTCTTCCTCATCGTTCACGTCATGTATATTCACTTGTATCAGCCAGAATGCCGTCATCGCGTGAAATCTCGCCAGATGTTGCAACATTTCTGGCACTAGGAGGCTCGCTTTGAGCGCTAAGTACCTGCAGGCACACAAGAGTGTAATTTATAGAAGCACACTAGGGCACAATCGCATCTTTATCGGTTTTACGTGCTCTGACAAACATACTTTGTCATTTCGCTTTCCATCCGTTGCGTTATAAGGTCCAGCACCTCGGAACTGCCGCCTGTTCGAGCGTCGTTGTAGGTTCTTTGTATCCTGGCCAAATCTTGATTTGTCCTGCAGAATTAAAGGCGCATGAAGGTATAATGCAATTGTCACGGCTGTTCAAGAGTCGTATGATGTCGTTTTACTTTTCGCACCTTAAAAACTTGTCGAGTATAACTCTGTAGCCAAGATCTAATGCACGATGCGTGAGAAAGAAACATTCAGTTATGAATCCAAATGAATCTGCTGTTGGTCGACTTTCGCCCTCTGGAATTGGTATCAGACATGTCTCCGAGCTCAGTCCTTTCATATGTATGCCACGTTGCAGAGCATCAGCTTCATCTTTTGCCTAAAAGAGCAAACCTTTGTGGTAAATAACTGTAATTATGGGAAATAAGTTCAAAGATATCTAAAAATATATCCAATGTTGATAATAAAAGAAGCGATTAAAATACCGTATTAATGTTAATATGATGGGTACTATGTAATCATTCTTCTAAGCTTTTGAACAACCAACCTCAGCACTGCAGTATGTAGGATCTATTTTCGGTATTTTATCGTCGTTCGATTTAACACAGAACGGTTGACAAAGACGCAGCAAAACATTGCCGACATTTAGCATGAAACCATCGGAAACGCACAGTAACGGGGCTAATCCCATGTCAATGTGAGAGTTCCAAAGTCTTCCCCTATTTCTGTTTGCGTGGAGACAATCACCTAACCATTGCAGAGTCAAGTGTCGAGTTTCCGTCGAACATTTTAGCAAGGAATGGAAAATCTTGTGCAAGTGTTCGCTCAGAGTATCCATGGCTGTCCATATGCTACCTTCCATGGCAATGTTTGACTGTAATGTATCAGTCATGTAGTCAGAGCAAATCTGTGCGATCTGAGGAGATTTTATCCAGAAGAAGTACTTACTTGCTGCAGAGGTTTATCAAAGAAACCATATGCCCGCTTTGCTATCGGTAAACAGCTTATTCTGAAGAAAACACCTAGGAACATAACTTCATACGAGCTACCTCGTTCTGTCTTTGGTATGCTACAGTGTATTATTAATTTTGCTAATAGTTCGATTGTGGAAAACATGTGCAGCAAGGCAAACCACTGATGACGGAAGGTAAAAAGATTACAATCATCTGCATCTCTATGAATGATATATAGAATAGGTTTAAATGATACTGAAACTATATCATCTATATTGCTTCCTTCATTTGCTGCTATTAATTCTTCTATTATGCCACTGACAAATGAGAACAATTCTGTTTTGGCTACAGCATCATCCATGAATAAAGCAACAAACTGATTATGAACCTGAATAAATAATAGACATACATAATTATACAGAGTGAACCAAATAATTTGTTGCAAATTATTTTCTCCAAAACCATAAGAGTTATGGATTTGAATTTTTTTTTACAATAAATGGTACATAAGAACTGACTTTTTGGCACACAAAAAGTTTTTTAAGATGAATTTTCAGAAAGACAAAACAGGACCTTTTTTTTTGTGGAATGAGATAGCTCTCAACAAAATTAGTAACTTCTATTTGAAATTTTTCTTGTATCTTTTTCTTATTTTCTTTTATTCTACATTGTTAAAGAACTCTGGAAAAGAATACAAATTAATTTACTGGATAAATTTAGACACATATTTTAAATTATTTCAAATCTACAATGTTCACAAATATATCTAGCACAGTGGAGGTAATTTCTTACAAGATGTCAATGCATTAATGTGTTTTAAAGTTTATGAATATCATTTTGAATACTTAATAAAATGACTCGATAATATCAAGGACCTATTTGTCCCTCTAACTAATCTAAGTATAAAGTTGTTGATATCTAAAATATTACCTCTTCTATGACAGGTAAGAGATCTGCCATGTTTATAAACATATAAATATATAAAGAATAATACTTTATATACAAAAAGTACTTTATATACAAAAAGCCAGCCCTTATATACTATTTAATGTGAAAAGAGATTCAAGTCTATAACTCCAGTGGTTTTGGAGAAAATAGCTTATAAAGTTATTTGACCTCTCCTATATATGTTATAACATATAATATGTATATTATAACATTATATAATAATAATTTTAATATATTTGCAAAATAGAACAAATAGTTCCTAGAAAAATATATTTTATGTAATCATTATATTACTGAAAGAAACTTGTACCTCCTGACTCTGAAATAAATCTGGCTCTTGTAAAGCTGTGTTGGCATTTCTCAGCACAATTTGGCAAGCATCTCTTATGATATCTTCTAAACCACTTTTCGCGTTGTATTGCTTTAAACGGCAGTAGCTCTCATACAGATAAGGTATAACTTGTGCTTGAACGATATGACTATCAGAAGGAGCTTTGCAGTTGTATTGATTGTATGTCATTTTAGCTGCTGGATTTGGTAGCATTAAGCGCTCGAAAACAGCATGTTCAATCGAATCGGTATCAATGAAAATCAGAGCTTTTTGAACAACATTGTTGCTGTCTGAGTGCAGTGCCAAGCCAAACACATCTGCCATCAGCTGATCAATTTTGTCTTTAACATCTAAGATTCTTGACTCCATCACATTGTAAGGCTCATCCTTGATTACGTCCGACGATTGTTCCACGTAATTAGCGTTGCTGCTCTCATCGTCGTTCGCTTGATGTTGCGAGGAAAACGAGATAGCTTCATTAACCGATGAAAACAGTCCAGCGAATGGATTTCCCTTCACGTTGTCGCACATGATTGTAGTTTCTCCTTTACAGCGAAATTTCCGTGACGACGCACATAATTAAACCACTGAGTCGACACTTTTCACCGTTGCTAGCATAATGCGCCAGGAAATCTATTTCTTACGCTATCTCTGGTGTCACTAAGTGTCACTCGGGATGCTTGGTCATTATCGTGTAGATATGAGAGAACCAGTGTCGCCAACTCTGAATTTTAAAATCCGTCAAATGCTTCTCCAAAAGACCCCAGAAATAAGCTAAAATTAATAAATGTGTGTGTGTGTATGTGTGCACGCGCGCTATGTATACGTGTGCATATGTTTTTAAGAAAGGAATTAAAATAAATACATTAGTTTTATTGTTGATTAATTTTATTCATAATAATATAATTATATTATATTATTGATACAATATCGCTTTTATATATATATATTTATATATATATATATATTTTTCATATTTCATTTTATTATAAACAGTATTATATACGCGGTATTATCTACTTTTAGCAACTGATGTCTTCTTATTTCTTTTAGGAAAATCAATCTTCTTTTGACAAAACGATGAAATAAATGGAGCTAATACTCTTATATGTTTTTTACTTTTCGAATTGTTATCAATGTCAGTCAATTTGGCAGTAATAGTGCATTTACACCACTTACATGTTGCTCTTGTTGGGTCATCATCAATAGGTAAGAGCCAATCTTTGAATTTATCTGACTTTAACCAAGCCAGACGAAATTTTTGTTTATATTGTGGTGGCATCTACATATATCATAAATGTAGCAAAATTAATCTAAGTTAATAATAGCAATAATATAAGGTATATAAAATAATAGTGCAGAAAGATATTAAAACAAGTAATAATACTTACGTTCAAGTCAAACTTATGAGTTGAGAAATAAGCTTTGTACACCACAAATAAATGATCAAGTGTTGTTATTTCCTATTATCTATTATGTAGATAGTTCAGTATCCTCGCAATCTTAGGGCTCACACAGCCAGCGTAACGCGACACGCGATATGCAACGCGTGATATCCAATAAGCGTGCAATTATCAAAATAGCAGAACGATCATTGAATATCGCGCGTCGCTTGTCGCGTGTCGCGTCGCGCTGGCCTGCGAGAGCTCTTAGGCCTGGAACACAATACGTCGTGTGTCGGAGTCAGATGTCGGATTCATTCATAGTCCAATGAGAAAAACTCATTACCGGAAAACAAACTCTCTTATTGGACCATCAACTGAGTTGCGACATCCGACTCCAACATACGACGTATTGTATTCCAGGCCTTATGTTGCTTCCTTATGCGACGTAAGATATGTAACTTGTGTTAAACCACGTCAGCAAATCAAATAATTTCAGTTACGCAAATCTGCCTAGTGCAAGCATACATAAATTTAATCATGCAATGTTAAAGTAATATATATTATTTAATTATAATTAACTCTTTTAAATAACAATAAATCACACCTAATAACGCCTCATTCAAATTTAGTAAAAGTTAACTTATTTTGGAGAAAAATCCGCCGTTTCAATTTTTAAAATGTCCAGAAAATACGTTAACAGCTAAACCGCAATTTTTGCACGCTAAGCGTTATTTAAAAAAGCTAGAAATGACGGAAAATAAGCCAAGTTGGCAACACTGGAGAGAACTCGCGAACAACAGCGAGAGAGAGAGAGAAAAGGACGGAGAAGAAGACGCAACATTCAGCGGCAATTACGGAAATTCATAGCGATACTATCGAATGGTATTCATAGTCGAATTTATATTTAATATCGTCTGAATCTATTTCAAAATGCCGTACGAGTCGTTTTATTGGTTAGGAAGCATCTAAAGATCAACTTGAAGGCTTTTGCACGTAAAAAAACGTTAACCGTAATCGTAATTTTAGTAGTTTCCAACACATACAATTAAATAGAGGGCGTGTCTCAAAATGCACTGCCAGCGCTAGCTAGCACTGTTCCAAAATGAGTTGCAACACGCTGTAGAGGTGCTGTGAAAACATACTTATGTCGTGAATGTGTTGCCACTTCCTACCACTTCCTAGTTCATACTGCAGATAGCTATAGCCTGAACGTCAAAAATGAGGTAAATGTCAAATATAGGCGTTCCGAAATTCACTGCCAGTATTGAAAATACATAATTTGTTTTACATATATTATAGATTTTCAGTGCAGTGTGTGCAGTCTGTAAAATGCAAGTATGTAAAATAGATAATTTTAATTGAAAATGGATATATATCCAATAGCGCGCATTTATTTAGCGTTTTTTGTTTATATTCCAGCTTGAAGATTACAAGCAGCAAAAGATTGAAGACTATTAAGATATTTGAATCTTCTCATTCTGATGCAAATATTAGTCTTTTGTTCGCCTCCGTAGTGGTTTGATATGGTTCCTATAACTACGCATATTTTTTGATCGTGGGGACTGCGTACGCGTTGTCCCTGTTTATCTTTTACCTTCATACTACTGGAAAATGGCGTATGGACAAAGTTGAATGCAGTCCGGAGCCATATATTGAACTGAACTGAACTGAACTGATGCAAATATTGACTACCAGGACTATGAAAAAGACCAAATGTGAGCTCTTGATATGTTGGTAATGTAAACCGTAAAAAAAGAGCAAATGTCTATCTCTATTCTTTCTCTCTCGAATCTCTATATATTCCACTTCTGATATCTTATCTGGCTCTCTTCTTCGAGACCCTCCTCCTTAGTTAGAAAAAGTGATGTTCAGGATGTATGGGTTCCGAGCGATTAATAGAAAGCTCTCTTTTAATAGAACAAGAATATAGATATATATTGTAAAAAGAACACAAATATAAATATATCCGACACCGCTGTTTATACAAATATAACGCTTTACAAATCTCGACTATCTCCGACTTTGTCTTTCGACTCGACTCTATTTTTCGACTATCTATCTCCAAGTTAAGTCGCCAAAAAGCTCTCTCTCTCCGTCCGTTCGTCTCTTTTTATTTCCTCTCCATCTGCCGCGCCTGGGCTATTGAGTCCGGACTTTCTCCAGTGGCTCCCCCGGAACGAGATGGTGCTGTCCTCCCTCATCTATATCTTACAGTAACTTATTATGTTCAAGAAGCTAACAGAGAAAAGAATAAGGACAAGAAAAGAAATCTTTTCACAGAAACTTTATTATTGTACAACAGCTGACAAAATCATCATGTATGACCAGGTATGTGTTATACTACATATATCAGGTGTAGTAAAAAGAAATCCATTATTTTTCCAATAGATGGCTTTAGTTATCTGTATCTCGCGTTGTATAAGTCCGATCGGGTTCCACTAGATGGCGTTAGAAAGATGAGATTTCGTACTAAAAAAACTTTTTTGACAGTTTTGTGATTAGTTGACTCAGTTTTGTTTGAGCGCGCGTCAAAGATGGACACTAGCAAAGAGAAAATACGCTATATTTTACAGTTTTTCTTCGATAAAGGCGAAAACGCAAGCCAGGCGGCTGAAAATGTGAATAGTGTTTATGGTCCTAATACTGTAACAGCCAATCACACGCAATTTTGGTTTCGTCGATTCCGTTCCGGTAATTTCGATGTCAAAGATGCACCACGCACTGGAAGGCCAATTGTCGAAAATATCGATAAAATCATAGACATTGTCGAGTCCGACCGTCATGTAAGCACTGTTTCGATTGCCCAAGAGCTAAAGATTGCACAAAAAACCGTTTGGAACCATTTGAATAAGGCTGGATACAAAAAGAAGCTCGATGTATGGGTGCCATACGAGTTAACGAAAAAAAACCTCATGGACCGAATTTCCATCTGCGAATCGCTGCTGAATCGCAACAAAATCGACCCATTTCTGAAGCGGTTGGTCACTGGTGATGAAAAGTGGATCACTTACGACAACGTCAAGCGAAAACGGTCGTGGTCGAATCGCGGTGAGCCGGCGGAAACGGTGGCCAAGCCAGGATTGACGGCCAGGAAGGTTTTGCTGTGTGTTTGGTGGGATTGGCAGGGAATTATCTACTATGAGCTGCTCCCCTACGGCAAAACTCTTAACTCGGAACTGTACTGTCAACAATTGGACCGTCTGAAGGAAGCAATCGCCCAGAAGCGGCCAGCTTTGGCCAATAGGAGAGGAATTGTGTTCCATCAGGACAACGTCAGGCCACACACATCGATAGTGACTCGCCAGAAGCTCCAGGAGCTTGGTTGGGAGGTTCTTATGCATCCACCTTATAGTCCGGACCTGGCACCAAGTGATTACCATCTGTTCCTGTCCATGGCGAACAATTTTGCTGGTGAAAAATTCGCTTCAAGAGAGGCTTGTGAAAATCGACTGTCTCAATTTTTTGCCAATAGGGACAAGGGCTTCTATGAGAGAGGCATAATGAAATTACCTTCAAAATGGCAACAAGTTATCGAACAAAACGGCGCATATTTGACCTAAATCGGATCATTCTAACTATGGTAATTAAAGCCTTCAATTTCATGCAAAAATAATGGATTTTTTTTTACTACACCTGATATATACTTCTATACATTGACATCTCTATAAGGTTTTCTAAATTTATACTCATCATTTTTTCTATTATAGAAACATTTACTCACACAAGCTTCTGCTTACATGAGGGGAACAAAACTAAGCAGGCAGATGCACAGTTTAATCTTGTATTGAATCAATCGCCCAATGTACCTGTTTTGCTTGGAAAAACTCACGTTGCTTTTGACAAGGATTATAGAGGTACGTTGCATTTTACAGGAGAGCCCTCATAACTGATCCAAATTACTTAGCTGCTGCTAGGTTAGGGATGAGCCACTGTTTTATGAAATTGGACAATCAAGAAAAAGTGCGATAAGCATTTGAAAGAGCATTTGGAAGAGCATTTGGATGAACAATGCATTGAAGCACTAGTTGGTCTTTCAGTTTTGGAGTTTAATCAACAATGGCTTGACAGTATAAGAATGCTATCGAGGACATAAACAATCGATCCGACAAATCAACACAAAGTGTTGAATCATTTGGTGATGCCGAGAATGTAAATACACAATACTAGTTGTTATCTAAATTAAAGCTCATTTTTTTAAGAACACAAAATAATAATCTGTTTTGATAATTAGGCAACACAATGCTTCAAAAAAGTATTGAAGGCACAACCAAGAAATTATGAATCTATGAAGATCCTTGGCTCACTCTACGCCAACTCGAGTTGTCAATCGAAACGCGACATCGCAAAGGCCTATTTACGGAAGGTAACGGTGCAATTTCCCAACGACGTCGAAGCCTAGATAGAGTTGGTTCAGATATTGAAGCAGAGCGATCTGAATGCAGTCCTGAACAGCATTGCGACAAGAATTCTAAAGGAAAGGGTTCAGGCAGATATCCCGCCGGAAATCCTGAGTAACGTACTGAATAACATAGGGACTTTGCATTATAAGTATGTATATTTCTATCTTGAATACATCTTGCTAAGGAAGATAAAGTTGCACATAAATGTTTGTTTCATCCTTCAGGCTCGGTAATCTGGAAGAAACCAAAAAAAAACTGGGAGAAGTCTCTGGCACATTCAAAGGCGAAAGCTTCACACGACTTAGTGCACTATAACTCGATATCAGTTACAACCACACACAATTTAGCAAGACTGAACGAGACATTGTATATATTCGACCGAGCAGAAAAATTATATAAAGACATTCTGGAGGAGCATCCGGATTATATAGACTGTTATTTGCGACTTGGCTATACGGTTAGATATAAAGGATAAATTTACGAGACGTCCGATTGGTTTAAGGACGCCTTGAAAATTAATAATGAGCACTCTGATGCGTTGTTATCGCTGAATAATTTGCATTTGGCCAAAATGAAGCAGGGTCCTGGTCAAATAAAATTTAAAAAGATTTTCAAGAATCTATCAACGAACACGGTCTATCTATGTCTACGCTCTGATTGTTTTAGGCAATTTTTGGTTGCAACAGTTGCATTGGAGTAGAAAGTACAAGAGACATCAGGATCATGTGTCGGCCAAAACGCTGCTCTCAGGTTTTTCTCTGCCAATAGGAATTCAAAAACATTCGATATATAGGGTGATTCATATAAAATGATCGATATAATTATTAAATTTAAAAATATATAAAAAATAATTCGTAGTTTTTAACGATCAAGATTATTAATTTTTTTTGTAACCATCTTAATTTTTTAGTAATTAGAAGAAATAAACATTTTGTTTCAATAAAAATGCCAAACTTGTTCATATGAAATAGTTATTTGGTAAAAAAATAGTATATTTAAAACCAAAAATTATTAACAATTACTATTTTTAATTTATTTTAATACTCTGTTAAGTTCTTTGATTTCAAATACACCATTTAGGCTGGATAGTGTTTACCGATCAATAACTCCAGTAAAACTATGTTCTCTATTCATAGTCATATTTTTGTTAATACTTTTCTTCTTCAGTGAAGAAATTTACATTTAGTTCTAAAAATTTTATAAACTTTTATCATTTTATCGAAATGCAAACCTAGATGTAATCCTTAAAAAAATTTTATAATTTCATAATTATTATTTAAAAATTACTATTTTGTAACATAAAATATATATTTCAGTAGAAAATAAAATTGATTTTGAAATGATAATTCAACAACTTTATCTATAAAATAATAATTGTTTTTACTATATATTATCCTCTTCTATATTGAATATCTCTATATGATATATTTCTGTATAAACTATTTTTTTCATATATCTTCAAATTTTCCTAATAAAAAAATTATTTTCTGATCTCATTTTTAGAAAGTAATTTCCCCATTGGATTCCATCATAGTACAGAATATATACTAAAATAACAATTTGTGTTCTTCTATTGTGGGAATAAAACATTACAAAAAGAACTTAAATCATTTTGCTTTCCCACAAAAATACAGTACAGTACAGTTGGATATATTTTTACTACAAAAATTTGTAAACTCCATTGCTTAAAACATAAATCTAATTAACTTGTCTATATTTTCTTATATACATAAATACATCGATAACATATTCTCATTTATATACATATTTCATATATTTTATACATTTTAGATGCTGTTTCTTGTGCGACTGTTATATGTATATCTTCATCAAGTCTTCATAAAAGAAATTTATCATAAATGAACAAGTGTGGCTAACATTTTCAAATACACATCCATATGTATGTTAATATAGTGTGTATTCAATACAACATCACTCAATGAGCTCCTGAATTTAGCTGACATTTTCAAACTTGATTAAGATTAAAAGTACAAGCCAGTCAAATCCAAAAGCTCACTGAATGCTTAATGAATGATGTTAGTATTGAATGAACATACCCATAAACATAATTTGTCAAGAGGAAATCTGTTAAATTTAATCCAACTTTTTAGCTCCCCGTGTTTTCCAGGCAACTAGCAAATTCCATGAAAAATATAAAGAGAAACAATGAACCTGTGATGCTAAGAGAATGAAAGCATACCATAGTACACCATATGGTAAACCCTGAAAAATAAAATAATTAGATATATATCCAATATATTTAAAAATAAAATATAAGAACCAAGTAATTTTTTTTTAAAAAGACTAAAATGCAAAATAATTTAATGATAAAATTCATACCTGCCACAAATGAATATCCTCTGATTTTCCAACAGTTAAATATGTCCAAACATCCTTAAAGTAATACACAACAGCATAAGACAATGGACCATATCCTAGTAAAACAATTCCTATCATATATTTCTGCAATGTCTTGATTCTATTTCTTTTTATCGCTGAGAGAGCAAGAAAAGATAATAATAAGCTAGTGCACCATATGTATTCCCACCACAATGGCTGAAATAAAAAAAAAGATATAATTTATTAGGTAACATTGATATTTAATATGTTGTTTCATGAAAATATAGAGAATATTTTATCATATATTCAAAGTAAAATAATATTGAAATAATACATTAAAATTAATATTGAAATAAGTCATAATTAAGATATCTTTTACTACATACCTGTGGTATTTGTAACTCCTCTATTTCTAAGATAAATATATCCAGATGATCTAATATATCTGCAGATAGTTTGGCGAGCATAACAAAAAATAATAGATAATGAAAAAATATACAGCACTTCAGTCTTGATTTATTAGTCACACTGAAATAAAATACAATATTTTAATAATAGAGATAAAAATAATAGCAAGTTTAATATATGAATATATCTATATGAATTATAGATAACTATCTTCTTTTCTTATATATAAGTAATTAAAAAATAATACATTTAGCTATATATATCTCTAATTTATTCAATATATAACATGTACTTAAAGCACATAATAAATTGTAATAGAATTTTTACTCAAATTTTTATTCAAAAGTGCATTTTTTCTAGCCCTTATGCATATATATACATATGTCACATATATTTAATATAAACAATATGTGATGGAATAACCAAAATCAGCTAAATGTAAGTTAATACTATTGTGCCGTTAATCAATGAAATTCGCTGTATCTCCTACAGTCGGCTTTTGAAAAATGATTCAACGTTTCTGTTAGAAGCTCCTTACCTGACTTGGTAATGTGTCGCGATTTTCTGTCTGTGATTGTAGTCACTACCGTCCGTTCCGAGGGCTTGAGAGATTGTCACTTTTGAAGCCATTGGAACGACTTGTATGGAAGCCTATGTACAAGTATGAAATATAAAACTCTCTCAATTCAAGAACTGAAGCCCGTGGCAATTCACGCGGCGGTTCAACACCGAATATTTAACTATTTTTAAACTTTCCACAGCCCGGTGGGATTGTTGGCCTCGTGGCTCGGGACTGCTCGGAATACCGAACACTACCGAGTGCGCTGGATGTGTCAGTTCTGTGAAGCTTCGTTTTCAACACCGCTATGTTCGTGTAAACGCGAAAGAGGAATATTCAAAATTTAGTCACCCGATACAAAACAAGTTTTCTTAAAATATTTCAAAGTATTTAATTTCAAATGCGAGACGAGCGGTATGCGCGTACCGTAAATAGGTTATACAGCGCTCCATTGATCATTTTACCTGTCTTCATTGATCTTATCGAAGGTACTCTGATTATTGTCACAGATTATATAATAATGAAGTAATGATGCTTGAATGTTTCAGGTTATGACTAGGTTGGCTTATCTTTCCGTACTTACTCTTTATTTTAAGTCTCAATGGAATTAAGAAATAGCTGATTAGGACTATCATGTTATTTAGTGTTCATTCATGGAAAATCTGCCGGTACATACCATGCAGCTCTATGTCAAAATATTCTGTCGCCATGGTATGTAATATTGAGACGAATTTACAGAATTCTCTGTATTTTGTTTGTATTCACTAAGGAAACTAATTTTAGTGCCCTGGCTCTCGAAGACTCAAATCAACAAAAACTGCATATATGGAAGAACCAGTACAGTCAATAGAAGATGCTCCAAAATTACAGGTTGCCAGAGTAACCCCTACAATTCCCTTTCCTGTTGGAAAAACAGTTGTACATGAAATCAAGAAAAATCTATCTCAAATACAAATGTCAGAATGGTCACCTATAATAGTCGATTACACTAAGCTTCACAAACATTATCTGAAATTGTCAAAGATTAGACTGACATGTAAGTAGTATGTTACACATATATTTGTGTAGCAATTTAGTTGAACGGAAGAAAGGCTTTTCTTTTAATTCTTTAATTAATATAAACATTTTAAAAGTATAATTATATTGATTGTGTCAGCTTTATTGAAATTATCCAAGAAATTAATTTCACTTTATCAAACTATAATTTTCTTTGTTGTAGCTCTAGTTGTGGCCACAACTATGGCTGGATATGCACTAGCTCCCGCACCATTTGATATTTATACATTTGCCATGTGTTCTCTTGGCACAGGCTTAGTGTCAGCTGCAGCAAATGCGATCAATCAATTTTTTGAAGTTCCTTTTGATGCACAAATGTCACGAACCAAAAATCGTGTATTAGTGCGTGGTCACCTGACGTAAGCTCTTTCTAGAAGTTTTCTTATTCTAGAGATTAGATTTCTAGTAAGTAATAATAATTGAACACGCTGTAACAGATCTGCTCAAGCAGTAGCATTTGCAGCTGTTTCTAGTATCATTGGATTATCTATGCTCTATTATGAAGTGAATAGTGTAACAGCAGCATTGGGTGCTACTAATCTAGTTTTATACACACTCATCTACACCCCAATGAAACGTGTCAGTATTGTCAACACTTGGGTTGGCTCTGTTGGTGAGTATACTTTCTATGTTTGCTATAATTTATTGATAACATATTTATTTGAAAAAACTCTATAAACTACATTGTTTCTTTTTATTTAATTGTATAAAACAAACTTGATTCAATATATGAATATAGAATTTTTTTATATGGGTGCACATCTTTATATGTGTATGAGGAAAAAAAAGTTATCACTGTTACACATATGTAATATTGGTAACATATATATTAATGGCAACCACATGTAAATTGTTTTATTTTTTTTATTGTAGTAGGAGCTATACCTCCTCTTATGGGCTGGGCAGGTTGTACTGGTAGTATCATGATGCCGGGTGCTTTGATCATATCTGGTATCTTATATGCATGGCAGTTTCCACACTTTAATGCTTTATCATGGAACTTGAGGCCAGATTATTCACGTGCTGGCTATCGAATGATGGCTGTTACAAATCCAGATTTATGTCGTAAAACAACTATGAGGTACACAGTGGCTCTGACTGGTCTATGTTATTTAGCACCTGTACTGGATGTGACAAATTGGTGGTTTGCATTGGCTACGACACCACTCAACGTATCTTTCCTTTATCTAGGTAAAATAAGTGATCCTCAACTTAATTCTACGTTTATTTACCTAATGTTTTTTCAATATACAAATAATACTCGTCGGCCATTTTAGCCTGGAAATTCAGTGAACATTCGGACAGCGCGAATTCTAGAAAATTATTCCGATTTTCATTACTCCATCTACCTCTGTTGATGATGTTGATGCTTACAAGTAAGAAGTATTGGAGTAACACGAAAAAACAAGAAGATAAGCTCGTATCTCATAACGAGCAAGAAACGAATTTAGGGACAGTTTTGACTACTATCGCTCCGGCAACTTCGTCCGTGTAACCATGTTTGCTGTTGAATTTGTGATAGTATAAATTGATGTAAAAATTGGTGAGAAAAAATGTAAAAATGTCTAGACTTGCTAGAAAAGCTGAGATTTTTACGTTACCAAACTAGAAGGTTTTGTAAAACTCGGAATATCTCGCCGTGGATCTAATTATGCATTGGATCGGGTATTTATATAGTTAATAAATAAATGTCAAATGTGCCGTCATTTGACATAAAAAAATACGAAGTGGAGAAAACGAGAGTTCTAAGATATTATGTACAGTTTTATTTAAAATATTTTAACATAGTGTCATATCACGTTTTGAATGTCCTTGCGCTTTGCCTCGTACTCTTTCGCTATCTGTCTCCTGGTTTTAGTTAGATTTCTGTGGCCAGTGCAATCTAAATTTTCTACGTAGCATTTGGTCCTACAGCATTGCCGACATAGCTTATATTCACATTTGAAACCCTGCAATTTGAAACTATGTATTATAACTACTCCAAAAGGCTACACTGTTTCAAAAAATATCGACTGTTAAAAATTAATAAAAGATTAGAACTATGAAGATATAACTCGGACCAGAGGATTTGGACAGTCGTGACATCGGTCCGAACTTCTCTTAGGAGCTGAGGTTGCTTTGTTTGGCCGTCGCGCTATTCGCTTAAGTTTCTTCGAGCGTTTTCGCGAGATTTCGTTTCCATCTTCGTCTTCATATTTCCTTTTCCGAGGTGAACCTTCCTGAAAAAAATGTCTATCTTCAACAGAACATTTTTCTTACCTCTCTAGTAGAGAGTTTAGTTTATGTTTACCTCTACGTTGTGCATATGCTCATTCGGCGGCTCACGTACATAAGGTTGGCACAACCATGGTGGTAACTTTAAATTATAATCTGCAATTTTACATTATTAAATGCGAAGTGAATATAAATGCGAATAGTATTTCTTCAAATGTCGAATTTCATTACCGATTTGCTCCTTTCGCCACATCAAGCGACCCTCATGATACGGTAAGTAACGATCCCTCAAAGCGCATGTGACAGCCCGGAAAGCTTCCATAGTGGAGTTCGTGGCCAAATTCTCTCTCTCCTCTTGATTTTCTGCTAAACAAAGTCTACTCTCTAGTTAAAAGCATGCCGAGCGCACGAGTAGGAGTTAAAGTATCGTAACTTTAACACTATTCTCATCCACAGACTTCAATACAATATCTTTGCTGCTCTAACACAGACTTGGCGAGTGAAGTCCCACAAAATAGGAAATAGAGGGAAGGCAACTATCTTTGAAAGAACCACTTGATACGACATGTATTATAATATTTCGCCCTTACAGATAATTAATATAAAAATGTATGTCTAGTGAGTATCAATTGACAGTAACATTACGTTAATGTTATTACACATCATTCAATATTACTCAACTATTACTCATATATGTATATTACATTGCATTTACATTGAGTTGAGTGAGACGTCATAAAGGTAGTAAGATTTCACTGATATACAATTTCTCTCAAAAGACGATAATTCAATATTTATATTGTATATTTATGAGCAATTGTAATACATAATTAATTGCAATCTGTCAAAGCGAAATATTTCAACAAATTAAAGAAATACAATTTTTTTTCTAATGCAAACTCATCCGTATTCGAAATTCCGATAACTCGCACACTGACATTACAAAACATGTATATATGAGGTCCTTTCAAAGATGGTGGCTTATATTTTCTAGCCTTAACGCAGCCTGTAATAGCGATTCAGCAGCCTAGATATTATGTAGAAGTTCGTGATCTCATCGGACTGGCGATCATTTTGCGTCTATCGTGATCAAAGGGCCGATATATACGTACACGTGATGAAACATCTTAAATAAATGACCGCGGATGTACGAGGCCGGTGCTGGATATTGCTCCACGAGATCCAGATACTCTAAGGCGGGTTCCCAACAAGCGGGGTAACATGACTCGAATATGTACGGATTGTAAAGATTTCCCTCCGCCGACATCACACCCTGCACTTGGGTCTCTTTGATACACCGTTGCAGGTCTTGCATGCACTGTATATTACCGTTGGCGATCACAGGTATTTTCACAGCAGCTCTGGTACAACAAAATGACGAATTAATCGCTGGATAATTTTACATACTTTCGCAGCTCTCGATATCGGCAACTTATTTTTATCGTACTGAGAAGGCGGCAGTAATTCATGTTTTAGAAAAAGAATCGAATTTTTCGCTCATTTAACATCGAGCACATCGAGTGGAAGTAGGAACAGATAGTCACTTGACGGCTTTAATGTGTTCCCAAGACGCTAATCCGGTTAAAGGACCTTTTTGCTCCCTCGTACGTCCGTGAACGGTAAGTAAACTAGCACCAGCATTTTCCAGCATACGGGCGTACTCCACAGTACGACCGACTTCTGGAAACACTCGTAATTTGCACGTGACAGGTATGCGTAGTCCACGCTTCAAGGTAGACACTGTGCGAGAAATTGATCACATATTATTATATTATATCATTGTTATATTAGGAAGTCAAGACGAGATATTTGCGTGAATAACGCGTTAAGGCATGCGAGATAATTGCTAAACGATCCAATTATAATGCCGATCAAGGTTCCTAGTCCTTCGCCACGGAACTTTTAAATGATAACGTCAGCAGCGAGTAAGCTCAAAAAATTCTTGCGTGCTATTTCTAAATAAAAATAAATTGATACGAATGAATACTTCAGGTTGCTAGAACATACTCGTAAAACACTATAAATTGTTCTGCTTCTCCCTTGAAAGTTAATCAACCGTAAAATGACTGTAATATGATGATCATACAGAATGATTGCGCATGCGCATAACTAAACCTCATCATCGTCGTTTTATGGTTGTTATCATCGTCGTTTTATGATTGATTATAAAGAAAGAAACATGACGTTCACGCATTTTACAAGTATGATCTAGCGATTTCCGAAATATTCTTTCACACAGATATCTTTTCATTTGGAAATAGCACACAAGATTTTTTCATGTGTAATTTCTCGCCTCTGACATCATCATCCAATATGACCGTGGTGAACGTCCAGGAGCCTTAAGAATCTCTGCGTATTTTGACACAGAGCTAAGATAATTGTTTCTTCAAGGATGAATAACTAAACATGCTTCTGTGCTGTGTGGAATTCTTCGGGTACAAAGATAAGAGCGTACCGATCTTCTGCAACAAATCCCAATCGTCTTGCAAGAAGGCTCCGTAATGTCCACGCTTCGCGATCGCCTGTGGACAACCGATATTGATGTCCACCGCATCGCAATATGGCTCGGCCAAGCGTGCAGCTTCCAATAACACTTCCGGATCACTACCGCAGAACTGGAAAGCAATACGTCACTGTCGAGTACGGCAAATTTGATCTTCTCCAACAGTTAAGAGCACTGTGGATTCTGCTCTTACAATTAATATGGTAAAAATTAGAAGAAAGAGGGTGATAAGAATTATCGCTGCAGATTTAATTTGCATATAATACTGATGAAAAAAGAAATTGCAACATTATGAAAACGTTTTTCAATTTACTCAGTGTTATACCTATAGGTGATATAGCTGTCACATACAGGATGTATAAAAAGTACCGGGACGGTGAAATATCACAAAAACTAAGCATAGAAAAAATATTTCAAATAAAAATTGTAGAGTTTCAAAAGATCTGTTCAATACATCCTGTATAATAAATGTGTCATAATAAACGATCATATATACAAATCCATAAATGCACAAGTTTCAAAATACGATGTATGCGAACATTATTTAGAGACTATATTAAATATCTCGTGTACTCTTCTCGGACGTGAACACAGACCTGAATTCTCATATACAAACGACCGCACAGGTGGTGAATATTATTCTGCGATGCATTGTTCCACGCTTCTTGCACCTGTGTATGTAATTCTGCGAAATGTTATCTAACAGAACGAGTACAGTATATTATAAACATATGCAAACTGGACTTGCGACTGACTCTTATCGTCTTCTCCCCACATTTTTCACCCGAGTCAAGAGTCTTACGATCATTTACTCGAGTTGAAGCAGTTGCTGGTATAAGGAAGAAAGCAGCATGCACCGAGTGATCTTTTCGTGATCTCAGGGTTTCGCAGCGGAAAGCCTCCGACAAGGCGAAGCAAAGTACCTGCACGATCAACGGACGATCCTCGCTGGTGCTAGTGAGAGCCTCACGCCTGTACTTGGGGTCCCGACAGAACACGGAGGAATGCAACATCGGTGTGTAACAGAGCTCGGCGCCGTGTCGCCTGCTGAGCAGTCTCCACGGCAGTTCGCTCGCGTCCACCATCGGTGCGACTATGCAGCGCGGCGAGCCCAGGTCCTCCCAGACGTTGCTCACCTCCTTCGTGGTAACGTCCTGCACGCGGGCCGACTCGGACATAGTCTCCGACATGATCTGTGCGGACAAAAAGATTGTACGTCGTTACTCGCAATCGCGGCTATGAGGCACTGCTAATTTATTCATGTGTGTAAAGAAGTCTTCATCGGAGGAATGTGTCGCGTGCCGCAGCGCAATAATGTCACTCCTAGGCACTGCCACTCAAGTGAACGCGGCTGCACTGTGTGGCCACGTCGTACGGCTTGGTACCGTCTTGCTAATCGTTAAAGCGGGCAGTTTTCGTGTTCTCTAGATGTTCTATAAAACCTCTTTGTAACGTAACCACCGCCGTTACGTAACCAGCTTCGCTGCTGTAGGCGCACATCAGTCGGTACTTTCGATGGAGAAATATCTGCCGCTTTTTCGATCGCGCGACGAGGGTAGAGCCGTGCAGTTAGAGTCACCGGTATACAGGACACGTCGTGGCCTCAACATCGTAGCGCGAAATTATCGAAGCATTCGTCTTGAATACATTTGTATCAATTTCCGTTTAACCGCCCACCTTGCAATCACGTCTCTGCACGGACTGTTTTATTATTCACAGGCTAAAATCGCCCAGCAAGCACATGACAGGCCTGCTCTTTGTAGCTGCATTTTTTAAACTATCTGCTAGTATCTTTCTTCTTTCTTTTACCAGGTGTTGAATATATGTTTGCTTCATTTTGAGTACGGACAATGTGCAGACTTCGCAGCGAATGAACATCATGTAAGGCTCGTTCTTTTCTGAGCTGAACTGATGTTGCACTGAAATTTCATTCCTTCTTCCCTTCAACGTCAGATCTATTCTTACAGACTATACTTGTCTTTAACCCTTTGCTGCGTAGTGGTCCTCCCAGAGTGCTACTTATCAACCTCAAGCTTGTTTTCCTAATAATTAATATTTTTCACATATTTCTTTAGCAAATTTGGTATTATTGGATTACTAAGATGTTCCTCTAATTAATACATCAACTTTTAGGGTCATTTCAAACAAGTAATTTGTTATTAATAAACATATACTGAACAAAACTGTCGTTTTTAGAGAATAAATTCGTTTACATGAAATCTTAAGTAATAACGTATACCTCAAAATCATCATCTGAGGATTTTTGAGGTCGCTGAATATAAATCCGGTGTGAAAGATACAAAATTCAAAATGGCGGACGGAATGTTCAAAATCAGTCGAATTCGCTTGAAACTTGTTACTCGGGAGATTTTTGAAGTCGCTGAATACGAATCCGGTGTGAAAAATACAAAATTCAAAATGACGGATCTCATACGGCGAACATAATTATAGAAATGAAACAAGCTGTCTGCGCATGAGAACTGGGCAACCTGACCGATGTCAACCGAACCTTGCCGTATATATGTCCGTCATACCTGTGGCATTTCAAATTTTCGATAACGAATTTGTAATTAGCAACCTCGAAAACCCTTAAATTACAAATTTCAAGCGAATTCGGCTGATTTTGCAAATTTCGTCCGCTATATGGCTTCGCCATTTTGAATTTCATATTTCTCACACCGGATTTATATTCAGCGAGCCTGGAAACCCCCGAGTAACAAGTTTCACAAAATTATATTCATTAGAAAAAAAAACGTCCCAAGAAAGGGTTGAGGTAAAATAAGTATATATAACAATAATATATACAAATATGTATCTGTGTATACAATTTATCGTTGAAGGGAAAAAAGAACGAAGTTCCAGTAGCCACTAGATTCATTGGTTCAAATAAAAGGACCAGACTTATGTTTGTATCACGCTAAAAAGGTAAAAAATGATATAACCAAGTAAAACAAGCCTGTAATGTATAGCTTTATTCTCTCTAAGCGTCAGCTTAAATAGAGGTGTATCAAACCCATGAACCCAGATAAGAAGGAAACACACGTGAGGGTCAATGAAACGCCAATGCAGAGACTTATCGAAAATCTCGACGGGCTCTCATGAAAGCCCTCTCCCGATGCACTGAAGCACATAAACGAGACACGTCCTGTATACCGCGAGCGCGTATATCTCCATCTCGAGCGAGCTCGACGTCCCTAAAGCAACACCTGAGTCGATACGACGGCAGGGACGTTACTCGCGCAACGGCGGGAAGGCGAAGTGGCCGGACCGTGCCGGCGACCTGGGCGTGGCGGGCTTGGAGAACTCCGACTCCGGTATCGGCGACAGCTGAGCGGTCTGCGTGATGTGCGAGCCGACCTTGAAGCGCGGCCTCTTCCTGGAGAATGTGTTCCTTCGGCTGCGGAGTGCTTGGTTGCGCTTGGGGGGCATCGACGCTACGGGCGGCAACGGCCCCAGGACGGATATGTCCCCGGCACCCGGGGGTATTCTGATCTTGTGGACGGCGCGTGGCGGAAGATCCAAGGCGGGCAGCCTCGTGGGTGGACGTGGGTCCGGCAGTGACGTCAGTTCCATCGTCAACGGGGCCGAAGTGATGATCCGGTCTTCGGCCGTGGGCGCGACGTCCAGAGGGCTGTTCGCCGCCGGGATCACCTTGTTGCTGCAAGGACGGCCGCTCGTCGAGTTGACCGATCTCTGCCTCGACGAGCCTTTTCTCCAGCGGGCCTGCAGAAACGTCTGTATCCTCCTCATCGTCCCGCAGGAGCGCTTCGCAGCCTCCGGATGGTCGCCGGTGCGGCGCTTCCGAGCCGCGTTCCTCCCCTGCCTGCCGCTCTCGGGGCTCATGATGGAGAAGCAGCAGGACACCGGCGAAGGCGTGGAGGACTTCGCGTCCGGTGACTCCGCGTGGTTCCTCAGTTCTGCCGTGGTCTGCGAGGAGACTTCGATGGAGGTCTCGGTGGTACGCGAGTCGTACGAGAAGCAGAGCCGGAAGTTCCGGCTGCTCCTTGTGGCAGACAGTCGGGAACGGGCGTTTTTAGCGCCGTTCGCCGTCCCGTCGTTGCTCTCTTCATGCGTCGAGCACACGTACACGTCCGTCGTGGCCGTGGTGGCACTGTCCCTGAACATGGAGCTGTTCTCGCAGAAGCGATAGAGGCCTCGGTTGGCGCCCGTCACGTCGACGTCCTGGCCGTCGGTGGTGCAGTGAGGCGCGCCGCAAAGTCCCGAGAACGACGTGGTCCTGGAAGTGCCGGTGGCGGCGGTGACAGCGGCCGTGCCGCCGTTGCTCTTCTCCCGCTTGCTGCGCACGTACTCATAGGTGGTGAGGCCGAGGCAGGCGATATAGCCGTGGAAAAAGCACAGGTGTATGAGTAGGACCGCGGCGATGGCCGAGAGAACGCCGATCACGGTGACGAGGACGAGTGAGCCGGCGCCGGGCACTGGCAACGACGACGCTGTGGCGTTGTTCATCGTGTCGTTGCTGCTGTCTCTAGCTCCCCACTCGACGACACGCGCATTAACCAGTAGCAGCTCACACAGGGCAAGTCCGGAGACCGCGAGCGCGGCCACGAGTGTCGACAGCAAGCAGGCCAAGAAGGCCGGGTAATTACGGCCGCCGATGCAATTGTTCAGCCACTTGCAGTGGTGGTCGAAGCGCGGCACACACTTGTTGCAGATGGAGCAGTGCTTGGTGCGCCGGCCATGGGTCGTGATGTTGCACAGGTGGCATCGGCCGTTCTCGATGACGTGCCGGTGCTTGCTGCGGTCGAACTCGGGCACGACCTCGCCGGCCGGCCGTGCGCGCACCTCCGGGTCGGCCGGGTCCAGCAGCAGCACCGTCAAGTGAGCGAGCACGTGTAGCGAGAACAGCGCGGCGAACGCGAGCGAGAGGCCGAGCCGCAACTCTGGCAGCAGCGACAAGGACGACGGCGTCGTCAACACGGTGAAGGTGCCGGTAAATACGACCAGCAGTAGCACCCAGCCGATCACCTGCTGCGGGTGCAGCGGCAGCTGCAAACCGTGAATACGCCGGAATCGCCGGTGCTCCGGCGACACCTGCAGCGTCGTCTCCTGCAGGGAGCAGCACCGCTGGATGTTCGCGCGATTCGCCGCACGGCTCTCACTTAGCATTCCCGTGCTCTTCCTCGTCTCTCGCGTTTCTCGGGCTGGCTTACTCTTTTTTTTGTCGAGGGTTCTCGTTATCTTCTAGGTCTTGTTAATATTGACCCGTCCGACCGGTCTTTTCATAGTATCATCCTCTGATCCCTACAATAGATACCCATAGATTTTCCTTGTACTTTCGTTTCTGTCTCAGAGAATCCTTGAATTCTTCTCGCAGGTCTTCCTCTCAGGCTTGCTTTTTTTTAACGATTCTTTTTACCTTCTAGGTCCTCTTAGATACCGATCTGTCGTCGCACAGTCATCCTCGTAATACCGTCATCCTCGACTTTGTTCTGATCCTCAGAAGATCCTGGAGTTCTCGCAAATTTTCCTTCTGGACTTGCCTTTTTTATCAAGGTAACGATTCTCATTACCTTTCGAATTCTCTTAATAACTAGATCTGTCCGACCTGTCGTTGCACAGAAGTAACAGAAGTTGCAAAGATATTGTCTTTGTTCTAGTCCTCTGAAGATCCTTGAGTCCTTCTTGCAAATTGTCGTCGCAAATTGGAAGTTATTACAGCCGTTGAACTTTCATTATTAGGTACCATTTAATTGTACATATACGATTAATTACTAAGAGTGTTGTAGCTTCATTCCAAATTGCATATACATATATACATGTATATAAGCATATATAAGCTTTTAACACGAATGTGCACTCATGTACTTGCAGAATATGGAAAAGATTAGTCGAAAACCTTGGAATTTTATTCAAAGAACATGGAATATGTCGAAAATTGTATTTTATAAATTCCTTCATATACTTGTTAATTGTTAGCACTAGCTCCCCAATTTGATTCCTCGGGTTTGTTAACTCTCGTCCTTCCTCTTCCTCATCTTCTTTCCTTCGTTTTTCATTTTGGCGTCTCTTCGTTCTTCAATCATCTTAAGAAATAATGGTCCTTTATCGCTTATCCACTTTCTTTGACTAGTGAGAGCATCTCGCGATTTCTCTCCTCTTCCTCCTCTAATTCGTACAAACTTTCAGTTGACAATCATCAATAATAATATAAACATTTAGCCCGGACGTATATATAGCTCACTGCGATAATAATAATAAAGTTTATAGAAAATTATCTGCTTCGCCGTTATAATGATGTTACTAGGTTTCCGTGTCCGTGGCACTAATCAGCCCTTCGTCTAACAGCGTACTCGAATCCCATCGATGCCTCTCTCTTCTTCCGCTCGCTCTTTCGTCGTTCCGTCGTGCGGCACGGCTGCGAACAGTTTCGGACGCATCATTCTTCGTCATTGCGTCACACCGCGTCTTCCTCACGGGACGCTTCGCGGACGAAGAGACGAAGTGCCCGCCTGGACGTCCGTAAGGTAAATCGGCGACGCCTAGGATGAATCGATAAGTCGCGGTTGCCGCGGAAACTGAATTTCAGGGGCGCGACTTGGCGGCGAAGACGCATGCGGCGAACTCATGCGAGCGTGCGCGAACACTTATGCGACACTCATGGTTTCTTCATCGCGCGAGATCTGCGACCGAGACGAGCGAGCGACGACCCGTATGTGGTTCGGCGAACAAGACGACCGGGTAACTCTCGGGAAAATCGGGTCCGATCGGTGGCCCGAGCGTAGACTGATAAGCGAGTAATCGTTATTTCAAAGTGACACGATCGTTATTGCACTCGCTGAACATACGTGACAACAATGAGGCGACAATAAGGCAATAACACAGCAGATATTCACTCGTCGAATATCCGGGATAAATGAGATTTAAGGCGCAAAAGAAGATCGCAAGAAGAAACGAAAAACTAACCTCACTTTCTATGTTATCCGACGTTCTTGAGCAGCAGATCGGACGTGTCAATGCGTCGTCAGCATTCCTCGCTCTCGGCTAACACATTGTTATTGCACGTTGTCCACGATCATATCTCTCTACATTTGCAATTGTCCGTCCGATAAAACGTCGAAAAACGAAAAAAATCAACATCGGCAAACGTGGATATACTGGATATACGTCACTATTCGTCAGGAGCGAAGATGCGCCAGCACAGGTCGCAGGATATGGTCGCGCGATTTTCAGCATTCACCGAACGTTTTAGAAGCACCTGTCGATATTGCAGGACACTACCGTCTGCAATACCGGCATTATCACAATGAACTTGTGAATTGCGCCATCGAATTCCACGAAGCGTACATGCATTTTTCTAACTTCTCGAATATCCTCGTATCAACCAATCGTAGCGGAAGATGATAGCCAAGATCGAATGTCAAATACGAAATCTCGTCTGAATTTCGAACATAACTTAGAAGGTCGTCGTTGTGGACCTCATATGGGGACCGCTTCGTGGTTCACCGTGGTTCACCGTGGTTCATGTATGCATTTGCAATTATGTGGCTTGTGCATCGCAGCACAATTTGCTGATTGAGTCCGCGGTTTTGCGGTTTTCGTAAGAAACCCGATAAACACGAGAGATTTATCATACATCAGATTGTGAAATTCAAGGTGAGTGTCCTTCAAGCAGACTCGTTTTCAACGCATACGTATGTATCCACAGAACTTATTTTACCCTCCTTCCACATACATAGCACATTATCCAAAGCATTCTAATTGAATACATCCTCAATCTGTTGGGATCCTCTGATGAGAATTTGGTGTACCCAGAATGGCAGGGGTATTCGACATTGAGTTACATGATGGAGATGCTACCAATCAAGATGAATCAGATGATGATGTGATTGAACACAGAGAGGTAAAACATACCGTGTAACAAGCTCGAAATTATATTTGCAACAGTAATACTTAGTACTGTATTAATTTGTTTTTAGGAGGAATATAATCATGCTGCAACTGTAAGCGCTATATTAGAGTAAGCATCTTGCCTGTCTCTCTGATTCTATGATAATTTTTTATTTTAATTAATAAAACAATCGCATTGCATTGCATTTGTTAATTTGCAGGTCTGAAAACTTGGAGAGAGTGCAATTGTCAGAGCAGAATGTAAATCCTGGCCAAGAGAAAGCTGGTCCACAGGACTTTGAATTATGCAAGATCTTGGGAGAAGGTGGTTATGGAAAGGTCTTCCAAGTGAGAAAAGTCACTGGAAAGGATAAAGGCAGTATTTTTGCTATGAAAGTCTTGCGTAAAGCATCAATTATAAGAAATCAGAAGGATACTGCTCACACCAAGGCTGAGAGAAATATTCTGGAGGCTGTAAAACATCCATTTATTGTGAACCTTATGTATGCTTTTCAAACTGGTGGTAAATTATATTTGATCCTGGAGTACCTATGCGGCGGTGAGCTTTTCACATACCTCGATCGAGAAGGCATCTTCTTAGAGGATACAGCTTGTTTCTATTTGTCTGAAATTATACTGGCACTGCAACATCTTCACAATCAGGGAATTATATACAGAGATTTGAAGCCAGAAAACATTCTGCTGGATGGTGAAGGTCATGTTAAACTAACAGACTTTGGCCTTTGCAAAGAACACATACAGGAGGGCACAGTGACGCATACGTTTTGTGGAACGATAGAGTACATGGCTCCAGAGATCTTAACTAGGAGCGGCCACGGTAAAGCCGTGGATTGGTGGAGTTTAGGTGCATTAATGTTCGACATGCTTACAGGAATGCCACCGTTTACCGGTGATGACCGACGAAAAACCATCGAAAAGATCTTGCGAGGAAAGCTGAGTCTTCCGCAATATTTGACACCAGACGCCAGGGATCTTATCCGAAAGTTGCTGAAGAGACAAGTCGTGCAGAGATTGGGTTCCGGTCCTGAGGACGCCGAGCAGATCAAGAATCATAACTTCTTCAAACACATCAATTGGCAAGACGTAATCGCGCGGAAGTTGGACCCGCCGTTCAAGCCGTCCCTAAAGAGCGCAGACGACACGTCTCAGTTTGACGAACAGTTCACGGCTACCGTGCCGGTCGACTCGCCGGTGGAAAGTACTCTCAGTGAATCCGCGAACATGATATTTCAGGGTTTCACGTACGTAGCACCGAGCGTCTTGGAGGAGATGTACGCGCAGCCGAAAGTTGTGAACGCCCGGAGTCCGCGTAGGGGACTCTTGAGCTCTGGTTTCGGCGCAGCCGCTGGTCTTCACGGCTTTTCATCACCCAGGTCAGCACTGGACGTCCACCTGCGCCCGTCGTTGGACTTCCAGCAACACAGGCACCACATGCCAGTGGGGCCCAACAGCGTGGAAGACGCCGAAATGGTAGACCTCGGTCAACTATCGAATCGTTTATAGTGCCGCGACATGACACGCGCAAACCATTAGCTTTTCTCTTTTCTCCGATGCAAACCAAGGACGGAAGAAACATATATATATATATATATAGCCGCCTGTAAACGTTTGTTCGCCGGATCGCCGTTCATGTTCATTGTTCGTGCCGATACAGACGAACAGATGTATTTAGACAGATTTAATATGTATAGTTAAGAAAAAGCAGCATGTTCGGACGGTTTCCTTGATATCGCGACATCAGGCTAAACGCGATCTTACCTAGGCCTTTGGCGATTTCAGGACGGCTTACGTTCGTTTGCAATGCGAGAAAATTAATAGTATGCGTTTTCTTGCTATGTAAATAGATGTGGATGATTAAGAGCAAGTACATTCTTTAGGTGACCGACTTACAGACTAAACGCGAAACACTTATGAGCAGGATGCAGCTCAAATCCGACATGTGGCTGTATGTCGCAGTACTGATGTGAATATATCACGAATATAATACGATCGGGTAGCCAATGATAGCGTAGTTGACTAGCGTTAGACCCTTTTTAACGGTACAACCTGCTTTCATATAAAGTGACACGTCCTTCAAACAGATATATTAGAGCCGAAAACTTGTGGAAAGAAGCGATTGAGAAAATGCGACTCGAAAACAAATGGATCCTTGAAAAGAAAAGAATGTCGCGAAGTATTTTCATTTCGAGAGTGCCACATAATGAGATTGAGTTTCCTAAGCTTGTTTCTCCTTCCTAGACCGAAAGATTATTTTTTTTTTCTATACAACAGTTTCTTGTTTCTAATGTCTTGGAAAGTTTCATTTGAAGTGAAATACTGCATTTCGAGCGAGAGAATGTACTTTTCTAATCTCCATTTAAGTAATTTGCTTTCCGTGCAATAGATATCGAAGTATATATGTATGTAAGAGACACGCTCGCGCTTCTGATGTCGATTCTTGTGGAAATGAATATTACGTTTCAGTGCATTTCATGTACCGTGGATGTCGCGATAATTTCAATTCACGCTTGTACAAGATGAGACGTCGAGTAATACTCCTATCCTATCAAAAGCGAGTAGATTAAATTATCTCGTCTCTATTATTATTATATGTAATTAATTCCATGTAGTTCGGTTTTCACGGGAAAAGTGAAGCAATTATCCTGGAGTAAAAACGGAAAAGAAGAGTGGATGACTATTGTATTATACATATATGTACATGTAAGAGTGAAATTAATCCCGACGATTGTATTTAGAACAACGGTGTATGTTGCATTTTACGGAACGGCATTTCTGTCATAGTAATCACTATTGCTCTAATGTCACTTTCAGTAATGTAACAATATGAGATATTTCAATCGTAATAGTGAGTGTATTCTCTTTTTATCTATATACATCGAGTCTCGTTGCTAATTGTAATTAACTGATGAATTAATTGTACATATATAACTGCCAATCCGGATTCTACTTCCCAAAGTTATAGTGTCATATCACATAGAAGATGTAATCCATTTGCAAGGAACGATCACGCAAACAGATTTCAAAGTGCCCAAGTGTTCAAAAGCCGACTGGTGGCTAGTATTACATATAATTTACATTCGTACGTTATATATATATATGTGTATATATATATATATATATATATATATATATATATATATATATATATATATATGGAAAAAGATATATATGCAAAAACGGATTGTTACTAGCTAACCGTGTTATAAAGAGACAGAAATATAGAGTGAGAGAAATTATTACTTTTTAAGAACTACTTAAGCGAGATGCGCGGCATACAATGAACGATCTGGCCAATGTCTGTAATATACGTATATTATCGATGATCCCATGTATCATCTTGGCGAGAAAGGCATGTATACGTTGCACTAAAATTACATGTGATTGTAAGAATACCAGTAATAATATATTAATGCATTTCATTGATTTGTAAAAATGATATAAGATGTATGCTATATTATAATAAAACTTATGCAGCGAATTAATGTTTGTATTACGGGTCGTGTTATTAGGAATATATTTCACTGTCATTGAATAAAATGCTGCAATTTATTTAGTCAGTTTCGTTGATGTGTGCAAACGATACTCGAATATCAATCTGCATTATCTACTTGCAACGTTAAAAACCTACCCGTTTTTGAAAATTCTTCGTATCATTTTCAGCGTTAGATTTATATTAACATCTAACATGTTTGGTTTGTAATTAAATTGCGAAATGCATTTTTAAATTGTTAACATGATAAGTATATTTTTATTATATTTTCACAGGAGATATCATTTCACGGGTCTTGCAAAAATAATCATTAATGGTGCGTGTGTTTTCTCTTTGCTTCACTGTGTCGCAACTTGTCCTTATCTCTGTCCTTATCTTCCTCTTTAATTTTTTTCTTCCTGTTGGAGTGACTCTTGTCTCTATCATGTTTAGCATTGCCGTTCTTCTCCTTATGTTTGTGCTTGTGCGTATCACTACGTTTACTCTTGTGCTTGTGAGTCTTATGAGTATGCTTTTCTTTAGAGACCGACTTCTTTCGTTTCTTTCTATCTTTCTTCACATTGGAATTTTCCGAGTCGCTGCTGCTGCTATCACTATCGCTACTACTGCTGCTATCACTATCGCTATCACTACTACTGCTACTACTGCTGGTGCTATCACTAATATTGCTACGTTTGCTACTGCTCATTTTCTTCTTTTTCAGTCTTCTCTTTGCTTTCTTGCGATTTTTTTTCTCCAATAACTGTAGTTTCCTGTAATTCACAATTATAAGAACAATTATTTAATAAACATTAATGTTTTATTTTCCATTACTAGTGGAGAAATTATGATTGCACAATTGAATTAACTTACAATAATAATTTCTTCTTTTCTTTCTTTGACAGAGATTTGAGAAACGATAATTCCGACTGTTCTTCATCTTCAGAAACCATAAGATGCTCATGCTCTGGAACTCGTAAGTGTTGTTGGGCATCTAATGCAGATCTGTAGTAAGAAAGTAGTAAGAAATTAAATATTCAACTGTTACTCTTATCAGGTATATATATATATATGTACATACATAAAACAATATATATAATTTTTTTTTAAATATATTGTAAATAATTTTAAAATACATGTATGAAATAACACAACATATTATCTAAAGCATGATATAAACTTACTTTTTTAGAGCTAAACCATCTTCTCGCATCTGTTGTACAAGTGTCATTGTGTCTGGGGCAGATGGTGTTTGTGAATTATTTGCCATTACAACACTCATTGCTTGACTGTACAAAGGACATTCCTTATCTGAAAGCAAATTATCATCAAACTCTGTTTTCTACCATATTTCAACAGTATTTAATAAATATATGTTAAATTACCTGTATTTATATGCCCCCATTTGTGACACTTAATGCAGCGTACATTTCTTACTTGTATACCAAATGGTTGATCTCGAATTTCACTATCACCTTTACAATAACTCTCTCTAGGAGCATTATATTTTCGCTGCCACTCAAACTTATATTCAGGCTCGTTATCCTCTTTTTCTCTCTCTTTTTTTGCTCCAGGAGGTGGTTCATACATGAAGTTTACACTAAGTTTATCCTTACTTTCTTTGCTGAGTAATGCTCTGGAAAGAAACTTTTTTGTTAGAAGCAAATCTTATATTGACTCTTTCTTTATAAAATATTTTAAAACTTACTTATTATTATGAAGATCCTGTTCCTTCTCATATTGAACTCGCAATTCTTCTTGCTTTTTCTTATAAGCCTCTGCTTGCTGTTCTGCCATCCATACCTGAAATAAACATGAATTTCAATAAAATCTAACTGTTAAAATATGCGTCGATTTAATTTTAAATGCATATATTAAAAAAGACTTCCTGTTTCTAAAAATATATAATTTGTATACAATTTTCTATAACAAGAAAACAAAAAAATTTGAGAAATAGTGAGGCACTGTAAAAAAGTTAGGTTAAATTTTTCGTACTCGTTTCAAATTATCTCGCGACGCTGGATGGAAGAATTTCTTGCACATGTAATTATTGAATCCCTTTCCCATTTTCACAGGTTGAGATTTTTTCTACACGATTCCAAGTAACAGTTTTACAAATATGTCTACACACATTTGCAATTACGCACTCATCACCGCCATTACAAATTTTTTGGCTTCCTCCAAACGCACGTCAGATTCACTTTGACAGACGTAAAAAAAACAGTGTGGACGTCATTGCGGATACGCAAAATGTGCGATAACATTGTGTAATCTTATTGTGTAACATAAAATTTATGTACTACGTAAACGCATTATATATATACGGGTAACAATACTTCTAATATTTCTTTCGATTGTTTGCAAATTGAAAAAAAATTGTACGACACATAACATAACCTCATAAACAATGCGACTATGTCTATCCTAACGGCTTCAAAATCAACGTTTGTATGAAAGATACAAGAAAGTTTTATATACGATGTTTCTGTTATATCTCACGTGATTGTAATATTAGGTTGAAAAAAGGAAAAAGCGCACCTTTGTGACATAACCTGAAAACTTTACCTCGGGCTGTGGTTCCGACGTGCAGCTCGACGTGCATTAGAATTTATTGCGGAGTTGTGCTACGAATCAATCGAGTATCGCGAGTTGGACGAAAATTCGCCTCTAAACGCCATGAAGTTCAATGAGAAAAATATGGTGGCATTCGCGACCTCTGCAACGCCAGTGGACCGCGAAGGCTGGCTAAATAAACGCGGCGAGGTGAATCGCGGATATCAAAGGCGATGGTTCGTTCTCAAAGGAAATATACTGTTCTATTTTGATCGCCGCGGTGACAAAGAGCCCGTGGGTATGGTTGTGCTCGAAGGTTGCACAATCGAATTAGCAGAGGATGAAGAGCAGTTTGGTTTCAAGATAGTCTTTCATGGGCCAAACAACAGAAGTTACGCTTTAGCAGCAGAGTCTCAGGTGAATAAAATACTGACATACACGAGTATTTATATTTATGCTTATCAATATGCTCAATGAATAATGTTAACATTCTTCAGGAATCTATGGAGCAATGGATGAAGGCGTTAGCCTGCGCTAGTTATGATTACATGAAACTTATGGTGACTGAGCTGCAACGTCAGTTGGATGCTGTGGAGGAAGAAACATCTTCAACACCAGTGCAGCAATCGCCCAAGGCACCGCCAAGACAACGACATAATCCTTTCAACAGACCGGACTCACATCACCGTTCCCAGAGCGTCAGATCAGCACCTGGTAGGACAGAGAACGTACCCAGAACTAGAATAACCTTTCGTGAGCTTCACACAGCATACGGCAGGCGAATCTTGGCCGACCTGAATGCATGGAGACATGCGAGGAAAAACGCCGAGGCACCTCTAATCACTCTATAACTTTACACACATTCTGTAGATACTTGAACAATATGTACATTTAATTTCAAAATGGTTTGAATAGCCAACTATCCAATGAGAGAATTGAACCTTAGGAACGAATAAAAAACAAGTTCTCTTATTGCGTCGTTAGCTGTATTAGAAACTCCAAGTCGAGAAAAAGTGTTCAAATTGTTTTGAAACCAAGTGTATAATCCATAAAAATTATTAACTCAAGGTGTCAACTATACACATAGCATTAACAAACAGAAGACTTTTATAAAAATGACCATTGTAATTTGTTATATTTAGCATATATAACAAATTACAATACATACAGTATATACATATAACTTAGTACACATGTAACAACTTATGCATATACACGTAAGATTAACACTAATTTATTATTCGTTTAGATGAAAGATGATAGTATTTCGCATAGAGAATTGAATCTTGACTTGCGACTTTGATTTACAGTGATCTCTCTTGAATTGTTTCTAATTTATTCCCTATCGTTAACCGCGATTAAGTGTCAGTAATACGATTATCACAACGAGATTATTTTTATTAACACAACAGTAAGGATTATTAGCCAAATAAAGTAACGTGAGAGGGGAGAAGAGAGCCCTTATAAGCTCTTACATACTTATCAGAGATTACACAGAAACTTTACCTATCTGCAGTATCGTATCACAAGATCCTTACCGTTGTAAGTGAGGTATGGGGAAACAAAGAGACGCAAAATGTTGACGTTTCAACACCTCAGGAAGATGTGTATATTAGTATAACTTAGATATTACTAATCTGTACAATTTATTTGTACACGACATGTACGTAAGATCGCACATGCAACGATTACCGATGCCATAATAATAAATAAGTTACTACGTTACCCAGAGAAAAAATCTACGGGTTGCCTATAAATTATTTAAACTTAAAGACGCTTTTCTTTCTCGCATCTCCAGGTAGATGTCTGGTACCTAACAAAAGACGAGCCTTATCCTCTTCCTGCGGTGCCGATTCCTCGGGTGGGCCCCTCGGTTTGATCTGCAGCTTTTGTTTGATAGCTTGACTGAGTATTACGCGCCTGGAGTCGCTCTTCATCGCCAAGAGCAAGTCGAGCCACGTCCATGTGACATTGTGATATTCCAAAGTCGGTATGACCAGCGCGAAGTCACGCACGTCTTCGAGATTTTTCTCCTTATTTCCCTATCAAAGGAAATTGGAAGTTGAGTAATAAAATAACGGAAAGAACCTCTTTCCTCTTTCGGTTTATAGCTATCGAGATCATTACCTTATACGATACGCGAACAGGTACTTCCGGTATCTTGATGTATATGAACAATTTGTTCTTGTCAGCTCGCTCCTTCATCTTTTCCACGTCGTCTCTCCTCTCGATGGGCACATAAAAGGACGAATCGCGTTGCGGTGCTGGTGCTTCCTCTATACCTTCCGGATCTCTTTCCGGAAAGCAGAACTTCAACATAGTGTTGAAGAACTTCTTCGTCAGACCTAGATAAAAGTGAAGCGACTGCACTTGACGTACATGTGATGCGGTACATACGAAATGTCTGATGGTGACATATATAACTGTGCACGCAGATTGGGTCAAACTGAACAAAATGTACCATTTCGCAACCAACCACGTAAGACCTTGTTCATCAATTAATGATTGCGCGAAATAAAGCATATCGTTTCTTGTTTGATCTGATCTTTCGTTTGTTTAGTTAATTCACAAGCACATGACGACAAGTACGACGACAGACGTCGCCATCACAGAGCTCATCACTGCTCCATCACTGCTCTTGCGCGCGATCTCATTTACCAACCTTCTTTAATTAATAACTCAAAATTTCATATAGCTCGCAAAATATGATGTGACTTTTCTGTTTGCTTTGACCCAACTTACATGCGCACAACGGTTGTATATGTTATTAGGTCAGATATTCTATGTACGATACACACGAATTGTACATTCGTTGTACCTATCGTAAGAGGCACCACATTGATCTCGAAATGTTCCTTCACAGATATACCCGCTACCGGTGCTTTTTCCCTGCAGAAAACCCGAAGAGCCCTTTGCCGGTCGACAGGCATATTGCTCTGCAGCTCTGTCGGCGTGAGTACCTCTGTGTAGATCTGATTCGGCAACAGATTCGTCATCCGGACGTATCCCAGCTCCAGCAGATGCTCCACCGAGTCGTCGGTCTTGCTCGTTTTGGTATACAGAAAATTAGTCAGGATAAGATCAGCGATTCCTAGCTGGCCGTCCGCATCAGTCAGCCTCCACTGAGCGTGCTTGAAGCAAATCTCGGCCACTCTGGCTACCGCAGCCGGCTTGTCTTTCAACGTGGCCGACGCGGCCGCTGGCGCGGTTGTCTCCTTGTAACAGCTCAACATGACATCCAACTCCTCCGCCTTGGCGCTGAGCTGTTCCTTGCACTCGAAGACGCTCGCTTCCAGCCGCTCCATCTCAGTCAGCAACTCCGGACTCGACTCGTCGGCCAACGCTTTCTGCACTAGATATGTTTCGCGCTCCAACCTCCTCAATTTTGCCACCAAACAGCGCACCGTGTTCTGCAGCTGCTGTATTGGCCTCTTCTGGTCCTCGACGGAATGCAACTGCAACTGGAACCTCATCCTCTGTAGCCTCTCCGAGGCCTCCTTCCGCCTCGGCTCTACGTACAGCAGCAAGTTGTTGACTATATCCAAGATCATGGCATATTGCAACGAATTGGTGCACACGTCCAAGTCGTGGTGCATCAGCGTGAACGCATCGGCCGCGGACAAGTCCTTCCGCTCCCATGGGCTGACTTCCTCTCTGGGTGGCGGCGGCACCTGGTCCACTGAGCCTACGTCCAAGGTCTGGCCGTAACCGACGTAGAAGAACTCGCACTTGCAACGGGAAACTATGCGCTGCAGCTGATGCTGAGGGCCTCCCCCACCTCCTACCGTCTGACTGACCACTCCACCTACGCTCTGACCGGACCCTACCAACGCCGGGACGTCTGGCAAGCCGGCTATAACGGTCGAATCTTTTTCCTGGAACGATATAATGCTTGTTTTGCACAGAATACTCGCCAAGAATGCGCCTGGCACGCATACCTGAATGTTGTCTAATGTCAACCACATGATGTTATCATCGATATTGTCGTCGATATTCGCGCTCACGGTCGCGTAATACTGCATGCACTCCAACGAGCCGACCCAGGTCGTCTTCGGAACCAGAGACCGTTCCTTCCAGACCGGGTGATGAACCCTCTGCAATATCTCTGCCTTGGCTGCCGAGAGGATCACATAGCCGCGAGTCTCGATGCCTTTCAGCAATACCTGGCTGTTCACCAAGGCGACTGAAAGGAATTCACGTCGTTTCATCAGTACTTACAACTACTCACATATGGATAACTTACTCAGCCAATTTTTGTGCAAGACATCGTCCTGATGACAAGCCGCTAAGCCACGCAGCTGTTGCCCCCTGGTCTGCACCGACAGATCGTCGCTGAAGGCTACCGGCTTGTTTGTAGCCTCCGCTATCAATCTCTGCAGCATTCCAACCGCCTCGCCTTGCTGCGGCTTCACAGCGGACGAGGGTGTCACCTGGGTGGGTGTGCTCTGCTGGTCGCCCACGGAGGGTCTGGTACGGCGGTTCTTGTGCGGTGTCGTGCTGTTGTCCCGGTGGAAACCCTTGAGCGCCGCGGTCGACAAGTTCTTCTTGAGTTGCTGGGTCTTGATGAAGGAGTCGAAGAGCGCGAACGCGACGTCGCGATTGGTCTTGGTCCAGGCGCCTCGCAGGTCGTGCACCACCAGTCGATGGATCGGCGTGTCGCCGCTTATACCCGCGACCATCGCCTCCCTGCCGTAGCTAACGCGGGCGACGCTCAGGCAATAACACTTCTCGACCGGCTGACGCAGCGACGCGCTCTCCTCCTCTTCCTGTAACGCGCTCTTCAGCCAGATCTCGGCGTCGCTGAGCTCACAATTCATATAGATGACGGACCACTCGGCGCGTGGCCGGTGTATCAGCCCGTCGTCGATCGGATGCAGCGCCAGATTGTGTTCCGAACTGCAGGCCACCCTGCCGCCGGTCACCTCGAAGCCCCGTTGCATCGCGAAGGACATCCAGTAGTTGACATGGAATCGATGGAACGCCAGGGTCAGTCGAACCTTCCTGTAGTGTCTGCTGAGCTGCTTCTTCCTGGGTCTGGTGTTTTTGAACAGCGGACCCTTCCTGGTAGGTCTTGTCGCGCCGGACAGTATCAATTTCAGGTTCTCGAACCACCTCAACGTGCTGCCGTAGAGCAAGGCCGTCGGTGCGCTAGTCAACGTAGGCGAGCCTGTCGGTTTAGTCTCCAGCGAGAGACTGACGTTGAGGTTCTGTGAGCGGAACGCCCTGAAGGAGTCGTGCTCCTGATTGCTCGAGTATTCAGGTAACCGATCCGGGGCGCAGGGTACAGCGGCGTGATGGTCGCGCGGGTCGCCTAGGCACACCCACGCCAGTTTGATGCTCAACCTGACGTTAGGCAAGTGCAGCAATCGGCAATCGTCGTATTTACTGGCTGTACGCACGTACACGTCGAGATCCCCCTTGATGATGATCTTCCCCTGCGTCCAGTCGAGCTCCAGCCCGGTCCACGTCAGTTCCATTTCCTCCGTAGTATTGTAAGGATCCAGAGAGCCGTGCAACAACACCGTCAGCCGTTTCACACAGAGCGTCAGCCTACCGTGAAGAGCCAGTCGCATTCTATCCCAAAACGGTAACGGCGGGCTCGGATCTCGCGATGGGTGCAGGATCTTCTCGAAGCTGAGGTTGCATTGCGCTATCACCGGCTCCCAGCACGGCCCGAACGCGTACCTGAACTTGTCGATGTCCCAATTGAGATCGTGATAATACTTGAGGGACGTCATGCCTCTCTCCACCACTATGTCCTCCCACGGCGCACCAATTTCGATCCTGACGGTTCTCTTCGCTCTCAGCGGCGCCAACGCTTCCGCCCCGGCCAGTCTGCCCCAGATATTCAGGTTCTCCACCAGCAGCAGTGGCTGCGGGAAATCGCGGAGCTGGAGCTTCCATTCCGCGCACTTGAGGCTGATTCCTCTGACCCATAGCGTACTGAATTCCAGGCCGTCCTCGGGCCACGGCGTTTCCGGGTCCATCTCTCGCAGTGCCCTCACCGCCTTCTCCGTGCCGTTGATGGACGGATCAGCCAAGGCCAATATCTCCAGATCCAGCATGATCCAGGCGAAGAGCCGAGTCCTCGCCGGACCGGCCCGTTGCATCTGCTTCCATCTTTGCACGTAGATCTCCGCGTTCTTTTTATTTAGACTGGCGTAAAGCTCCTCGACTTTCCCCTGCGGCAGCAGCAAGTGCGCGCGACAGAGCTCCTGCACCTTAGCGTCCAACATCGCCTGCCGCTTCAAGCTTTCCTTGTACTCATCCTCCAGCAGCTCGTAATTGTCGCGCAGACGTACCTCGAACGGGTCGTCGCCGACCTCGAACGTCCACTCCTTGATCTTGATGACCAGATCGCAAGGCAAGGACTCCTGCTTGGACGCGTTCGATGAATGGATCTCCTTCAGCCATCTCCTGATGCTGAACAACTCGTTCTGTATCGCGTTTGTGAATTGATGTTCATACGGGAAGCAGATTTTGATGGAGTCCACGTTCAGGGCCCAGCACTCGTTCCAATCCAACACGAAGCCCTCGTTACTTTGTCTCTCCACTCGCACCTCCGCGTTATCGTTCACGCGCACCAATTCGAAACCTTCGATCATTATTATATCGGCCATGTCCAGCGTGACTCGCACATAGTTGAGTCTCCATTCGCCCTGCGACCAACGCAGTTGATCGGACGTCAGGATCAGGAAATGTTTGGTTGAGATGTCGACGGAGACGGTGATTCCACCCGTAGCCAGCAAATCGAGAATGCGTTTCTTTTTCTGCACTTCTAAAACGAGATTATCTAACGATAATCATATAATTGGCGAATCATATTATAATTAAAATGAATGATTATAGCAAATTATATATTACAGCGAAAGTATAATAAATTATAAGAAAATTATAACAAATTATAGTAGTTATATTGGGACAAATTCAAATTTAAACGACACTAAATGGTGTTGGTCAGACATGCTTGCGGAAATATATACATATGAATAAATGAAAATCTTTTCATAAATTAATATAATATGATACAATTAAAATCCTGAATACTCAAACTCTCCGGCAAAATCAATTTTATGCACATTTGCCTAATACATATATTACTAATTTATTAGCTTTTCCCGTCAGTTCATTTCATTACCTTCAATACGAGTTGCGCTCATTTCATTGGAGATAATAGATCTGAAAACCTCGGATTCTACCCAGAATTGCAGCAAGCGAAGATGCAAATTCGGACTCCACGCTAGATTGGTGCCATCGAGACTGATGTTCACGGCGTCGGAATTGATCGCAGCTTTGCACTTTCGTATTGCCAGAAACGAATGGGTCAAGGCTTGCGCGTGCTGGCACATAACTGGCTCGTTCTTGTTGAGAGTGATCGCGCTCATGCCTTCTGCCACGCCTACGAATCGCTTTGCGCTTTGCTCTACAGTTGCTATGTCCAGGCGCATCATTATCGACACTAAACGAGAGGAAAAAGTAAGAAAACATTTCTAAAGTTGAAACAAAATCATACGCTGTTAGGGACTCACACTCGTTCTCCGCGATAAAGAATAGATTGCAATTTGTGATTTTCAGATTCAACTGGATGGGACTGCGCGACACCGTATCCTTCTTTTTCACTACTGGCTGTTGATATTTCTTGTAGCACCTGTAATTATATTATTTTTCAGCAATTATTTGCCATTATTTGTCATCTCGATGGTACTGTATTTCCTTGCTTGTTGCCGAGTTGTAGAATTCAACGTTGTAATCACCTGTAAGCTTGCTCGAGAAACTTGGCGAGTTCTAAACTCCATTCCGTCACGAGAGCGTCAACTGCGATGCCTATGGCGTTGCTACGAGTAGTCGCTAATAATACCCCGATAGAGAGCGGGCTACCCCATTGGTGAGACGTCTCGGAGATGTTGCCGTTGACGCCGTTCAAAGCGCAATATAAGGATTCGACGATCAATTCTGTATTTAGATCCTCGGTTTTATCTGTTCGATGGGGCACACAGAACACAAACAGTATTAGTGCAAGGCAAATGTGCATCATGAAGTTTCGGTTCTTGTAAATAAGTGAGGTCCTAAATAAATGAGGCTGTAAATAAATTCAGTTCTTGTAAATAAATCTCAAATAAAGCACGATGTACCTGTGGATGAATTCAAGGAGAATTTCATATGCGCGACACCGCAAGATGTTTCTTGCACGTCTGGCAACTTAACATTCAACGAGGAATCATATAGCTCCGTGTCTAGTCTCACTTCGATACTGGGCAGTTGATCTCTCAGCGATATATCACTAACGGGCTTCGAAATGTCATTCTCATTAGCATACAGCAACGATTCCCAGTCTCTATGATCGTACATTATCGAGAGATTGTTCAGTTGTACATTAATGAATAAGACATTCTCCTCCATCTGCGCACAATTCAATGCGAACGAATCAAATTTAATAGCATTTATACTTATATTTGTTACCGCATTACGCTTCATTCACTCTCAAAGGTATATACTCTTCCCCACCTTTGTTTCGATGGACAGTGACTGCAAGGTTAAAATAGGGAGTTTTCCACGTATGCATAAGCCATCTAAATTGACAGTGAAGTTCAACCGTGCTCTATTAGCTTGAAATTTTGCATTAACTTGAAGACTTCTCAAAGTACCCTCCAAACCTATCATGCTACTATCTTCCCTGCCAGCTATTATCAATGAATTACCAATTTTCAATGTAAAATCCTGAAAGTATTATCAGTAATTTATAGTGTTGTCAATGCTCATTACATTGATAACTGTTTGTCTATAGTAGGGAGACTTACTTACTTTGGGTAAAACAGGCGCTAGTCTAGCAATTAAGTCATTGGACGAATTACTATTTACATTGTTGCATGATGCTGCAGGACTCAATGTTTGTCTGTCTCTCAAGAAGTGGATAAGGCCCGCACCACCTGATCCTTCGGTCTGTGTTACTCCGACATACAATGTCTATAAATTAGATCCCACTTGATTCCTTTTGGAAATGGTCGATGGTCAGATTCACATATACAAAGCCACTTTAAATGTAGAAATGTAGAACATGCACAAAAGTAGAACGTGCTCTGTTCCAAAGAAGCCTTTTTAATTATCTATTATTCAAGTAGAAGCATTTCTAATAGAAGTATTAGATATGAAAATATGCTGTATTTTAATAAAAATTATCAAAACATCATTTTCTTACAAACTTCAAATGTTAAAGTGACAAATATTTGATGAAGTGCTATACCTCAACTGAGAGTTCTCCTTGAGCTTTAAATGTAGCTTCTACTGTCCCAGCAAATGTTATTTGTGAAAGACATGCATCAGAAGCATGTCGCAGTAATTTCATAGCACCGCCAACAATAGAAGCTGATGCTAAGAGTGTGCGTGCACCATGTACAATACTGCCATCCAAATTGAGACTTTCTGCGCTCCCATTTGCTAACCAACCATTGCCGAGAGCCAGTAAGCTTATGTTTTCTACATGCACAGCCATAAACTAAAACATATTCAAGTATATATAATGATCACATAATCAATATAACAGATATATCTTCAAAAAATAAAGAAATGAATTTAAACTTTAGTTTCATGTAAGTACCTGTACAAATGTAATAATCATTGGAGGTATTTTCTTGTTTCTAAAATCTAATACTTCATTGGATTGTTTTATCTTGTATGTTGGATCAACTGGGACATCTTTATTTATTCTAACATCTCTCATAATAACAGCTAATAATTTTGCCACATCACTGCTAAACAAACTGCTGCGTACACTTATTTCTTCAACTTGCTAAAATTAATTATTACCTTTGTTATGTCATACTTAAATATTTGTAACATAAATTGAAAGACTCACCAATGTAAAACCATTTTTTGTTATATTGACATCACGGAGGATAAAATAAGGTAAAGAGATATGGCCCACTCGTAAATGAATTTTGTAACGACGTTTCACCAGCCATGCTAACACTCTTGGTATCACCCTGTTAAAAAGATTAAACAAATACAATATACATTGTTTACTGCTCATTTTGTATTTATATATAACATCACACTTACCATGTAAAATAACAATAAAGTATAAAAAAAATTATACAAAACGCAAATAATCCAGTCATATTCTTTCTTTCTTTCACTTTTCCTTGACATGTAATTAAATAATTATCATTTCGTAATCGGAAATATATTCCAATTTCCAAATATTACTGCTGTAGGTACAATAACATATTTTTCACGTCCAATTCATTTTATAATTATACACATTTGATCATGATTACACATTTTTTACCAAAGAAATTGACAGCTAGGCTGCGTTCAGAAAACACAATGGTTGCGTTCAGAAAATAAAGGCTGCGTTCAGAAAATACAACGGTTACACAACGGTTGAATAATTCGTCAACGTTATTGGTCTGAATGGAAGGATCTAAAGCCAGCAGCACACGGTGCTTGTTTTCGTGCTAGATTGCTTGCTGGATGAAAATACTGCGTTCAGATTGGTGCATTTCCGAAGATGGATGGAAATGCACCAATCAGAACGCAGTATTTTCATCCAGCAAGCAATCCAGCACGAAAACAAGCACCGTGTGCTGCTGGCTTTAGATCCTTCCATTCAGACCAATAACGTTGACGAATTATTCAACCGTTGTGTTTTCTGAACGCAGCCAACGGTTACCAGAGAGAAGCCTGAGAGCGGGCATGGCTGCATTTACAGCGTTATGGAAAAGTTGGCTGATTCGAAGCGCTAACTGGGTCCATTTTTCATGGACATGAACTATTAATAGAATGAAAAACTAAGCCAATGTCCACGATTTGTCGATACTATTCCGTGCTATGTCGATAATTATTTGGTTCTGTTTTGTGCTATGTTCACGAGCGAGCTAGATTAGTTATATGAAAACGAAGAATCGGTTTTCGTCTCACGTCCAGCGAATAGACAATCGCGACGAAGCGAGCCAGCAGCGATATTATCGTAAGGCAGACGTCGCCGTCCCCCCTTTCACCTCCTTATTTTCCTTTCCACATTGTTTTATATTCATAATTCGGGAAGAAAATAATTTCGAGAGTTCGGACGATTTCTAGCAATGACGCGACAGAGATAACGCGCGGCCACATTAATTTGTCATGACTTTTATATTACTTATAATTACATAAACGCTCATATATGCAAATTATAGATAATTATTGCGCGTATGTTTTAATATTGTACAATATGGTATATAATAACAACTTCATTTCTTGCAGTAATTTTTTTAAGATCTTCGTTGAGGTCGTGAATTAATTTTTTTCTTCATCAATCAGTTTTCTGCAAAAATTAAGATTTTTTAAATAAAATATATAATGTTTCTCTTCTCTTCTCTCCGAAGAGTTAATTAAAAAATATGTACTCCACAGAGACAACTAACAAATGTGTAGTCAGAAGAGTCAATTCAAAAGTGTATTCCGAAAAGTCAATTTAATAGCGTATTCCGAACAGTCAATTTTAAAGCGTGCTCTGAAAAATCAAATTAATATTGTAATCCGAAAAATCAATTTATAATAGAATATTTACTTCGATGATTCAGCTAAAGAAAAAAACATTTATTTATTATTATATTCAGAGAATAATATTTAATTTATTATTTATACTTATCTTACTTATGCTTACCCTACATATCCTTCTTTGAATGAAAAATTTAATTTGTTGACTGATTCAGATTCAGATTTGTTAAAATATTTCTTATGCGCAATTCTTGAACAGGTAGGTAGTAAAATAATTTTTTTTCTGTACGAATTTTATAAACTTTTCACAAACATAAAAATTGAAAGATTCTCAGAGGACAAATAACTTTTCTTGAACATTTAAACTAAAGGAAAATATTTTCCCATTAATAAAGAATGAATAATTAATATCTCACACAAAAGGAATCTTCATCCTTGAAATCACAGTGCGATTTTGCTTTTAGAAAAGTATAATATTGATGTAATAGTAACAAATGCTATCTAAAAACGGTGCAAATCTTAAACGTTTTTGAGAAATGTAGTTTGAAGTTTAGTCTTTTCTGTTAATGTCGTTATAGCAGAAGAATTACCAATTTGCTTCAGTAGCGCAGTGGATCAGGCTTTGTGATATGAGTGTAGAGGTTGTTCAAGTGTGTTATTTTTACTATCACAGGGAGAACTATGTAGAATGTATAATAATACGCAGACAAATTCTTTATATAATCATACTTATTTCTTTTAGCATGAATAAAAATGATCAATGCTAACGTGGTAAGTGTATATCGCAATTGTACGTGTACGCAATTGTACACATACACACATACGTACACCAATGATGTCAAAATCGAACAATTCGTGAAAATTATTTATTGATCGCAATTGTACGCAAAGACGAAAGAGAAGTACACGGGTCTCCGCGGGTATCTCGTCATATTAATTGTCTATGAGCTGATAAACAGTTGATCTCTGGTATTTACAAGTTACGCTTGTCCGCAGCTTGTTCGGTTTTGACATCATTGGTATCAGTGATGCGAATTTGGTGACGGGCTTGCACGAGGATTCTCCCCCTCCCCCATGCACGCACACAGCCAGCTCGGTCTATCCGTGTGAGCCACGCGATCATCAATCGTCGACGCGCCGAGCGAGCGAGAGAGAGAGAAAATATCATTCCCTTCTTGTCGCTCTCGTTCTCGCTCAGCGAGTGAGCCTAATTCTTTCTTGCCCATAATCTGAATCGCGGGCGCGACTGTCTCTCTCTTCTTTCCTCTCTATGACAATACTGAAAAGTTTTGTCTACTCGGCGCACCGAAATTATTACAAATAATATTTTATTATTAATATTATTATTTGTAATATATATTATTTGTAATATTATTATTTGTAATTTTATTTGTAATTGTATAATAATGTTACAAATAATACAAATTTTTACAAATTTTATTTGTAAAAATTTATATCATTCGTAATATTATTTGTAATAGTATTAATAATATTCGGCGCCAAGAAAATGAAATATATTTTATTAATTATTTTACGGAGTCGGGCAGGTTCACAGGTTTGATTATTGAATTGTTTAATAATATTTTAAGAATAATTTTAAGTTATACAAGGATGTAGTATGAAATATAAAAGAATATTGTAACAGAATCAAGAAGTACGAAATGAAACCTCTTTGCTTTTATTACAATATCCTGTAAGTTAATAAATATTTTTCATACAGTATTAAATAATTATATCCGTGAAATTTTCTATCTGCGCGAAAAAAATTCATAAAATATATTTGTTTCGTCGCTCTAAATGAGAAAACTCTCAGAACAATGTTATAGTTGTTCAGTGCACTATTCAATAAAATTATAATAATACTATGTTTGTATGTGTGAAGAATATTTGCTAACTTACAGGATATTGTAATAAAAGCAAGGAGGTTTTATTTCGTACTTCTAAGGCCAAGACTTATTAACGGCTAAAGACATATTCGAATTGATCTTGCCTTAATTGGTTGGATCAGTGATCGGTCTTGCCTTAAGTTCCAAGCCTCATAACTCGGAAAGTACTCGATGAAATGTAACTTTGTTAGAGTGTTTTGGAATGCTCTCGAGATAAGCTACAAGAATATGTAATAAAAAATCGTAGTTTCTATTTAAAAAAACATTAATGACCTTGGCCTGATTTTGACAAGGTCACTTCACTCAAGGTCAAGTCCACATTTCCGTTATGTGTCATCCTTCAAGCCATGCAACTTTCGTTCGAAAAATTTTTTAATAAAATCATCGATAATGGACCATATCACTTTAGTTAGAAAAGTCTGGAAACGGTCAAATACCTCGAAAACGAAACATTTTTCAGAAAAATATTTCCAACTAAAGTTGTAAAGGTTTTAAAAGTTCTATTGAATGATCATATCCGGTTGACCTTGAATGGAGGAGTCAAGGCGAGGTCAATGCCCCCCCCCCCGTGGGCGTCACCTTGTCGTGGTGGGGGGGCTTGCGTGCCCTGATGATGTACAGAGCTGTGCCGGCGGGGGCTTCGACCCCTGGCAGGTTCTACCATGTCGGAGAAGTCTGTACAGAAGGGCCAGACTAAGAGCGTCCATAATACTCCTGGATGGGCAGCTGCCTCCAGGTTTTATCCAGGGTCTGGAGAGTCTCATTCGTGGGGCCCAAAGGACCCTACAGCGCGGGCAGAGCGAGCTCGTTAGCCTTGGCAGGCAACCGGTCTAGGGGAAGGAAAACCCCGAAATCACACCCGTGTTGCAGGGGCACGTAAAACCCTTGCATTTATGGAGATATGACGACCAAGGAGAAAAGCGCCCCGGTACTCGGAGCCGGGGCACGGCGGGAGGGGGCGTATCGTCCCGGCACCCCCCCCCCGTTGTCATCCTGCTACGGGCTTGATGGCGTGCGCCAGGCGGGCGCGCCATCTGAAGATGCTACCGCCCGCAGGGAGGCTTCCAGGACCGGTTGAGGCCGAGTGTGGGTCGCATAGACCCACCCTCGGCTTTCGCCGGCCCTAAGAGCGCCAAAAGAAGGAAGCGCGAGGCGGAGTAATCCGCCTCGCAATTGTGGCAGGGCAGGGAGATGCACTTCCCTCCCCACGAGGGCGTTAGTTCCCATGGGGGGAGTGCAGCTCCCTGCACGCGTGGGGGAGGGGACGCAATGTCTGCCACGCAACGATGGGGGGAGCTCTTCCCGGGGGAGGAGTTCCCTCCTGTCGAGGACGAAGAGCCCTCGGCAGGAGAGGCTCCTCTCCATAACGCGCGGGAGGGAGGAGTTAAGGGCGTGCGATCCAGGCGCCACCAGTGGAGCCTTCCGCCCGTGTGGAAGCCTGCTGCGAGGGAGGCGTGCGAGAGGTATCTGGTCGAGCGGGCCCAGGACGGTATCGATCCGTTCGGGTGGATCCCTCTCTAAGGGCCGCCAAGGGTTACGGCAAACATTTGGAGGACCTGAATGAAGATTTCAGAGAGAGCCTCCTCTGCCCGTTGGCACCGGCCCAAAAATTAGTGGCAGCCGGGGGGCTGATCATCGGGTGGGGAAGGGCGCAGGTGCGTGTACTGGAGGACCGGCCCCTCCAGTGCTATAAGTGCCTGCACTATGGCCATATATCTGGCGGCGACCTGCCAGACCGACAACGGTCTGGCAGGCCGCTGCTTCAGGTG